TGTACAGTCGATACGACGAATCTTTTATTGTATTTCCTTAATGGTATTTGGACCTTGTTTTCAAAACTCAGCTAAGCGATGTCATTAAATTATGTCTTAATAATAAAGTTATTTGTGTACAATACTTCACAAACTTATTTCATTGTATTGTATTTACTTTTAACTTATGATTTTAAATTCATTTTATTGAAAAATGTATTACTTTACAAAAATATGTGCGTTACATTCGCATATTAAAATTGGGAGATCCTTTATTTAATCGTGATTTAATTAATGGTACAATAATAGTGCCTTATTTCTGAAAAATTCGTATAATTTTATAAAAGTTACAGCGTACTCGTGATTGCTTTAATAAGACGCTTCACGATAAATTCCTCCATATTGGTAACTAGGACAATAGATAGTCTTGTCATTTCATAACAGAAAAACGTCTTCAATTTATATTGACAGCCAAATGAGTCTTTTGAAAAGAAGGGAGGAAAAATTCATCATCAATTCGTATATAAAAAACAATAATTTGAGAAAATTATATTTTATTCGGTTGCGCTTATGAATTGAAATCATCGAGTATAAATATTTGAAAATATTTAATTACAAATTTATTTGATTTTTCATTTTTATAATATTAATAGACTAAATTATTTATCTCATATTTATATTTACAGGTTAAATTAATTTATATTTATTAAGAAATTTGTATCAATCACATTACATATAATGTATTTATCACTCAGTATTAAAAAGATAATATTTTTACAAATTACATTATGTTTGTAGAAATGAAATTTTTGATTTTGAAATTAATGAATTCTTACTTCATTGAAATGAATGAATTCATTTTGAATGATCTATTTAAGGTCGATATAAGGCGGATTATAAGGCTTCATATATATGTAGAATTTTTACTGCATTGTATAATCAACAGTTCTTACAACTTATCTCATTCACAAAGTTTCCGAGGTCAAAAAGACTACAAAACTAAGTGTCAATTTCATCGTAAGTTTCATTTGAATTATTCGAACGGAAAATATTATTTACAAAATTATTTCGTAATGCAATACAATTATTTTTGTTTAAGTTATAGCTTCATAAGGATCGATTAAGAAATATTATTTATTATTTACCACTTAGTAATATAATAAATCTGTATGTGATTTGAGATCATTATTTATAAACAAGATTTTGACATCGTTTTGATAACAATAAATAATAAAATATTTATTTATTTAATAAATTAACGATAAAGAAATAATTAAAGATAATGACGAATTACTACGAAATTAAAATATTAAATGACTTTTAAAGCAATAGAAACATTTTTATTTATTGTAATTGTATCTACTAATTGCTTTTGTTATTATTGTTGCTATTATTGCTGTTATTAATATTATCGTTTAATATTATCAACGTCGTCGTCATAATCATCATCGTCATCATCATCTTCGTCGTAATCATGATACAATAATAAATTGATTTTGTCTTTATATACGTGAATTATAAGCAAGAATTTAATTGATAGCTAAACAATAATATTTTATAAATAAATTTTTTTGTCCTGTTATATTTGAATTTGAAGAATAATTTGAAAAATGATTACATATTTTAACGTAATATATGGATTTAATAATAGTGAATTTGTAATATTTCCATTATGTGTCACAAAATATCTATGCGCGGATATGTATTAAATCAAGGACATTTTTATAAAGTAAAGATTATAAGGTCAAATTACAAAATAGTAAGGGAATATACATTCATTATATGTTTTTTTTTAAAGTCTTTAAGGGATACTATCGGAACTCATTAAATTATATTAGCGCCTTCTTATATTGTTTTTTGCTTGTATCGATCGAATTATCACTAAAATTGTTGTAAAATTTAATTTTGTACAATACTAAATAAGCATTTTTGAACAAAATTGATATTAAAAAAAAGGAAAAAATAATTTTGATTTTGTTTTATAAGTATTAAAACTTCAATGAATTTTTGAGAATTTAGGAATAAAAAAAATTTAAGATGTTTTAGAAAATTATAAACAAATGTACATTCAAAGAAGAAAGAAAAAGAGTTAATAAAATTCTCAATATGTGGGTATATATTTTTATTTTATCCGTGACAGAAGATGTTATATTCGGATATGCCTTAAAATATAAATGTGGATAAATTTATATATACTATCATTCATTTAGATCAAAATCGATACTATTCAAAATAACTTATTTACAACAAATAGGGATATCTTTTTACATAAATAATTAAAATAAAATAAATAACTAGTAATTTATTTTATAAATAAATATTATAATGAATGTTATATCATGAATAACATCTCATAGAATAAATGTTATTAATAATTCCTGGTATCATAATATAAATATAGTGGTTATAGGTAGTATAACATTTGTTTAAATGAAAAATAATTATTTAAATTTTATATCACACTGAAACATTTTATATTATTCTGTATACATTTCAATGGTTTATATTGTACATATAATTCTATGTTTTATGTGAATAAATTTCAGCTTTAAAATTAACATTAATATGATTGTATTATTGTTTACTATTAAAATACAAATTTGTCATATATTATTTAAACGAAATTCGAATTATATTATCATTTTTATGCATTTTAATGCGTGTAATAATGCTATGCATTATAGTAAAATTCATGATCTTTATAAAAAAATAGAAGATAATTTTTAAATTTAATTTTGTTTTATATCATTAAAATTAATTTGTTTCTAATCGAATTAAAAAAACAAATGTATTGTAATTATATGAAATTTATTAAATTCCAATAATTAATCATTCTTTAACTATACAGAAGTCTTGAAAGTAAGCTTAGACGCAAATAAATTTAGAATGTCAACATTTTACTTTATTTTTATATGTCATAGAGCAATTTCTCTTACTTAAATAGGTTTCATATCTTAAATAATGACAATTGGTTAATTTATGAATAAATAGTCGTACGCTAAGTTAAAAATAAAAAAAAAATGGTTTCTTTTGCGCTATAGGCAAACTATAGGATTATAGTGTTTTTAGCTAAAAAAAATTACTTTTTTATATAATGTATAAAACGAAAACTTTAATATTTAAATGAAGTATGAAATTTGTTTAACATAACAATATAATGAAACAATTTGATAGCATTTTTCTCATTCCAATTGTATAAATATAAAAACAATTATAAACAAATTTGTCAGGACCATTAATGTTTAAAGGCACAGTAGATAAAAAAAGAAATTAAAAGTAAAAAAGATTGCTAATAAATGATAATAAGATGGAAAAAGTATTCGGTTACTCAATATTCCGACGATAAAATATATATCTTTTATACTTTTGTATTTGCATCATTTTAATTTTTGCTATTGAAAATTTTAGAGTAAACCATTTGTGTTCTAGATTTTATAAACTAATTTCCGCGACTTTTATTTTAATTGTAATTGCATTTTCATATTTGCTCAGTTATTTTTCAATTTTTAGATTTTTAAAATTTAGCTCATGCTTTACAGGAGTCACTATATTTTATATCTTCCTGCTTCGAATTTATCATATTCATTTGATTATTTTTTACTATTCAACAATTCAATTAATTGTTTTTTTTTTAACTGTTTAGAGAGTGATATACATTAGATAAACTATTTTATATAAACGAAATATACTTTGAAAATTTTTGACAAGTTCAAACGAGAAGATAAATATTTTAAACTTTGTCGTGTGTTGTGTACTACACGAGGAAAAACTGTAATGAAAATGATCCAATCACGGAATATCAAATTTTAAAGAATAAATTTTAAATAAAGTGATAAAAACTTTGTTATCGAAAGTTGAACAAACCTTGGTATGTTACATGATATTAATCAAGAATATTGACTGAGTTCCCGTAAATAATTAACGTCAAATCTTTGTTAATTGCTGAGTTGTAATTCTATTATTTGTGCATGAAATTGTTGCATATTTTAATGTTTAATTTAAAACTGTAGTTTTCAATAATCTGGAATAAACAAAAGGTCAAAATAAGCGAGCATCTCTCATGATTCCATTAATTGTATGCTCTTATTACGCTCGTTGGGCTGTAACTCGAAGGCAATAAAGCAACTTTCGAGGTCCTTTCTTTGCCTATAAAATTCTTTTTATCATGGAATATGCTGGACCCGAGTATGTAGTTTCGGGAAGCGGATGGCGGCGTGTTGCGGCGGGTGGCTGTAATGAGACGGGAAAGGGTGGGGTAGGATGGGGCGGGGCGATCTGGATTGAATATGCGCGCGCGCGCGCGCGCGCGTGCTTACGTATGTATGTGAGAGGGCTAGTAAATATAAGGAGCGTCTAAATTGGTGTAACGTAGCGAAATTGGTGTACGAGAGGCCATCGTCTCGGTAATGGGTAAAAGGCCGCAGAGAAACGCGACTAGCGGCTGTTACGAGATTCACCGGGAGTCGACGGCGGGGTCTTTCCTGTCGCGCATACTCATGCGTGTATCACAGTCACATGCGCGAGCGAACGCGTTCCTTAGGCGGGTAGTTGGCGCGCGCTCGCACGCATGGTGAGGTACAGAAAGAGCGGGAGGGCGAGCGAGAGAGAGAGAGAGAGAGAGAGAGAGAAAGAATGAGAGCTGCAGAGGCCTATATATAAAATAAAATCGCGTGCATGCGCAATGGGTATCCTCGGTTATTTTCAACGTCGCTTGTGCTTCTCGCGACATCTGGCGGCTGGTGATGTAGCCAGACCCTAAGCCTTGGAAAAAGCGGAAAAATGGGAAAATCAGGCATTATTTAACCAAGAGGAGTTACAGATCGGTCCTATCTCTCGATCTTCCTAATTATCAGCTGATTAATTTTTGCAAATTGGGCTCGAGTAGACTCTGGAGTTCCTCCGAACTCGTCGATAATGGCGCGCGCGTCGCCGTCGGAGACCGAGTAACCGGGTGCCCCCCCCCGTGCGCATGTTCACTCCGTTCGGACGGTCTCTTTCTGTTGTGGCATCTAGAGGTGAGTGGTCGTGCCGTGTCGTGCGTGCGTGTTTGTAAGGGACTCTTCGTCGGCACCGCAGACTTCTCGAAGCTCTCGGTGTAATCCGCCCGCCGTTAAGCGTAAGCTTGTCATCCGAGGGTTTTTAACAAAAATCAGGCGTTTTCGTGATACGTAAGTCGCGTCTGAGCTCGTATTTTTCCGATCATCCACGTTCTTTGGTCGTAAATAAGCGATTCTTTGGTGACGGTGCGCATGGTCAGCCGAGCCTACCGCACCGACCAGTTTCTTCTTGTTGCTGTTTCGTCCTTTTCCAAGGAGGTTTGTGACGCCGCTTCAATTACCTATCGACACGGGCAATTTCCTCGTTGTCTCTTGTTCTCTTGTATTTCCTCCCTCACCGTTTCCCGCTTTCTCACTCTATCTTTCTCTCTCAATCCGTCTTTTTATTAAGTAGCATACCAGAGAGCTCTGTTTTGTAGTAATATAATCGCTGTAAAAGAGTTGTGAGGTATGGTACGAATTTTAGACCTAAAGCCATAATCGCTCTGAATTTGGGTGTGCTAATGGGAGTTAGGGAGAGAGGAAGATAAAGATAGAAAGGGAGAACTTATCGCACGAGGAGGAGTACATTCTATTGTTTCAGGATAATTTTACGCGAGCCGTTGGGAAGAAAGTGATAAGTACCGAACTTGAGCGGTGAATGAAACCTGTAAAAGAATCTGGGATCCTAGTAATTCTGACGTAATCGTGATCTAATATACAGAAAGTAAGAGCACCAAAAATATCGCTAAAGAAACCGGAAATGTAATAATGGCGCTTCTCGCTTGTCAAGAATGCCTTTTCTGCAAGATTGTCGACTTGTTCTGAAAATAAATATATTTCACCTTAGATATAATGGCTTCTAGTTTGCCGATTTTAGCGTGTCTATGCATTATTGTAGTTATCTTGTTAAATATAATCATTTTACATCGCATCTTTCATAAAGAATATGCAAACATTCCATCCTGTATGTAACCGTATGGCGAATTAGCATTCGTTTCACAGGTGCCGATTTTAGAAAACAGTTATGATTGGTTCGTAATCTAGTTAATTTCGTAATCTTCGCTTGTCATCGTCATCGTCGTGGATTAAAGTAATTCCAAGCTTAGTATAAATTTGAAGTTCACTCGGTAAAATTTCCGGTGCATGCGGCTTAACAGTTCATCCCCCCTTTCGCAATTGCGTTTCGAATTCCATTCATGGAACATTTCGATCGTCCATTCATTTTCTTAGTACATACTTACATATAAATTTTTCTTCTACCTTCATAATTTATTATATTATTTAAATAAAAAATCGTCTAGAAAAATCAGTAGCAGATGTTTTCTAATGTAGTCAAGAAGGGAAAGACTGATTGAAAGTAAAAACGTGGCAACGAAGCAAAGCGCGTCACCTAAAAAGCAGTGAATATTACGGCAACGCTGTTCTCTGTTCTTAGGCGGAAGATACAAAATGGCGTTCACCGCTACCGTTTCGAGAATATTCACAAAATTAGCGCACGCCACGTGGATGTAGTTTAGTCTAATTTATAAACATTCTGTATATTGTTTTAATTTGGGATTAGCTTAATTAATTTGCGGAACAAGTACTTCATTTACAAACGATATTGCTTAATTTCAATTTTTAATCCTGTAAGGGAAGCCACTCGTGTCTTCAGTGTAACAATGCACTTATTGATTGTTAACTAAATATACTCTGATGTTAGATGAATTTTTGCTCATTAAATTCGTGAAAATGTGCATTTTAATTTTTTTTTCTTTTATTTAATTATATTAAACGTAAATTTCGATATAATTTACAATATTGCAATTTAAATAAATAGATTTAATTAAGAATAACTGGATTCAGTAAATTATATCGGAATAATTCGTTAGAAAGTGAATAGTTGTATTCAACTTATAATTATTTTTATTGTTCGTAATAACTATAATTTCTTTTTGTTTAGTTTTAATTGGACTAATATAGAAACACATTCATAATGGGAAAAGAGAAGGTGCATATTAACATTGTTGTGATTGGACATGTAGATTCTGGAAAATCTACCACCACTGGTCATTTGATCTACAAATGTGGTGGTATAGACAAACGTACTATTGAGAAGTTTGAGAAGGAAGCTCAGGAGGTAAATATTTACTTATTTTTTAAATTATAATTATCATAAATAATTTTATTTTATTCATGTTTTAATGATGATAATATTTATTATTTCATTCGTGGTTTCCTCCAGAGGATTCATTTCCGTTGATGGTCTAATACGTCTGATTTCCTAGTACAAAAATTAATATTTTTTAATGAAAAATCCGACAAATTATTAATAATTTATTTTATTATTTTGTTTTTAGATGGGTAAAGGATCCTTTAAATATGCCTGGGTATTGGATAAACTAAAAGCAGAGCGTGAGCGTGGTATCACCATTGATATCGCGTTATGGAAGTTTGAAACGTCGAAATATTACGTTACCATCATTGACGCCCCTGGACACAGAGATTTCATCAAAAACATGATTACGGGTACGTCGCAGGCCGATTGCGCCGTATTAATTGTCGCCGCTGGTACCGGTGAATTCGAGGCCGGTATTTCAAAGAACGGTCAAACTCGTGAGCACGCTTTGCTCGCCTTCACTCTTGGTGTAAAACAATTGATTGTTGGTGTTAACAAGATGGATTCCACCGAGCCACCATACTCCGAGACGCGATTCGAGGAAATTAAGAAGGAAGTGTCCTCGTACATTAAAAAGATTGGATACAATCCGGCTGCCGTCGCTTTTGTACCTATTTCTGGATGGCATGGAGATAATATGTTGGAGTCATCGACTAAAATGCCGTGGTTCAAAGGATGGGCTGTTGAACGTAAAGAAGGCAAGGCTGATGGTAAATGCCTCATCGAAGCTCTTGATGCTATTTTGCCACCGAGCAGGCCAACTGACAAAGCCCTCCGCCTTCCACTTCAGGTACAATTTTAAAATATAAATTGCAATATTTCTAAAACTTCTATATGAAATTTATATCAAATACTTTATGTTCGAAAGTTTGCAAACTCAAACTTTATTTGTAAAATAAAATGATGATACAATTTTTACTTCATTCGCGGTTTCCACCAGAGGATAACATCCATTGATGGTTGAAGGTGTCTGACTATGCTAACTAACAAATATTTTAAAAATATTAATTAAACTAAGTTAAACGAATAAATTAATTTTATTTTAAAGGATGTATACAAGATTGGTGGTATTGGAACGGTACCTGTCGGCCGTGTTGAGACTGGTGTGTTAAAACCTGGCATGGTTGTCACCTTTGCCCCTGCTGGACTTACAACTGAAGTTAAGTCAGTTGAGATGCATCACGAAGCTTTACAAGAGGCAGTGCCAGGGGATAACGTTGGTTTTAACGTTAAAAACGTCTCGGTTAAAGATTTACGTCGTGGTTATGTGGCTGGTGATTCAAAGAATAATCCACCTAAGGGTGCTTCCGATTTTACTGCACAGGTATATAAGGCTTTCTTACTGATTAAAAAATGAAATATATTAATAATGTATTTGCAATCGCTTTTGAACGTTCGTGATTTTGACTAAAAGTTTATTGAATAATAGTTGGTTTGTTTGTTAATTTGAGAATATTTTGTATTCTTTATTTTAATCATTATAATCTATAATAATTTATAATTTATTATAATTAATTTTTCAAAATAAAATTCAAAATAAGCCATTATTAATTTAATTAAGTAATAGAATTTGTATGTTTATAAAATTAAAAATTTTTAAGTGTATTGATAGTCGATGCATTTAATCCTACAGTCAAGCAAGCATATGGATTATATATTAGATTAATTGTTAAATAAGTTAAAAGTAGTTTTGTTAAATATAAAGTAATTTTTAATTGATTAAAATTTTATCATTTTTGTTGCTATGGAGTGAGAAACATGTAAGAATGTAATTTTATTATTTTTTCTATGAAAACATTAATTTTAGCTGTACTTCGATATATAGTATATTATTCTAATTAAATTATGAATTCAGATTGGTACAAAGTACTATATATTATTATAACACTATAATTTATTGTATTTGAATATGGAAAATTTGGGAATAATATTCACGCCATATAACAATTAATCTTCATTTTTTAATAAGCAATGGATTTTACTAAAATATTTTGAATGTTTAATGAAGATACTGGGGGTTACTTGATTCAGAAATAATCTAAGAATTAAAATGAAATTTAGATTATAAATTTTATAAACTTCGAAAGATAAATAATTATGACCCATGGATTTTAAATATTAGAAACTTGATGTAGGCAAGTATACATACCTTTATTTTAAAAATCACGAGCGTTATCTATGGTAAATTAAAGAAAACCCAAAAATATCCTTCCAATATGTTTCAGGTGTAAGTATCATGTATCATTATTATTATTTTCTTTTCATTTAGGTTATTGTGCTTAATCATCCTGGTCAAATCAGCAATGGTTACACGCCTGTACTCGATTGTCATACGGCTCACATTGCTTGCAAATTTGCCGAAATTAAGGAAAAGTGCGACCGTCGTACTGGCAAGACCACTGAAGAGAACCCTAAGGCTATTAAGTCTGGTGACGCGGCTATCGTGAACCTCACCCCTACTAAGCCCCTTTGCGTAGAGGCCTTCCAGGAGTTCCCACCCCTGGGACGTTTCGCCGTGCGTGACATGCGTCAAACCGTCGCCGTTGGCGTCATCAAGTCCGTCAACTTCAAGGACGTCGCCGGCAAGGTCACCAAGGCCGCCGAGAAGGCCCAGAAAAAGAAGTAGTCTTAGTTTCCGCGCAATCGAGTCACCGGAAGACACTCTGTTCTCCCGGAGTCAAGTGGCGGCGGCGGCGTCGCCGCCAGCAGCACCACTACCATCATTGCCGCCACCGCTGCGCCGCGCCTTCTCTTCTTTCTCCCGGGGCTGCCGCCACCGCAGGAGGTGCAACGGCAACTCCGTTGCCGCTAATCGGCTTGTCCATCTACCGAGGCGGCTCCGACGACACTTCTTTCATAGGAAGGAGTTTCGCAGGAAAGAAGGACTCGCTCGCCTCGCGTTATTATTATATTGCTGGAAGGCTGGGAGCGACGGGAGCATGGACGGAAAATACACGTGCTGTTGTTAACTGCGCGCCGCCGATGCTATATATCTATCATTTGTGTACACCTGTTTCACAAAAAAACTGGAAGAATAGAAGGCATCAACAGACATAATAATTTAGCTCAGCTTAATTATATTTTCTAATTATTATACGGAAATAATAAATCCTATTATCAGCGATAATTGAGAAACATCTCATTTTTTTATTGTTTGTTGTTACTTTTTTACTTTAAATGTCGTCGCTGTCATTTTTAACACACATACACAAACGTAACGTATATTATATAAATATATATAATAACATGAATTGGGCATCAGGCGCTTGAATTTTATTTCCTTTTTATAATCTTCCATTGTTTCAAATTTCCAATTTAATTTTTAGACAATTATATATCTAAAGTAAAGAAATTTTTATAATGTTACTTTTTAATAACTAATCCTTGGATAATAAAATGAAAAAATAAAAAAAAAAACGAACTGAATGCACCGGCACGTTTGAAGTCATCTCGATAACGATTTTTAATCGTTCTTCAATCATTTGATTATGGAGAGAGAATGACTGCTTTAAAAAAACATTTGAATTATCTTACAATCGAGTACTTTATGGTTGTTCTTTTATCTTCCAACTCTGGAGTTTAATAATTAAGGTTAAACCGATGTTTCTTGATCGCATGCAAGTACTTTCAAATAATTCAAATTATGTTTTAAATATATAATTTTTATTTGTGACAGTTCTCTGTACATACAAATAATGGTAATAACGATTGAGCGCGAAATAAAGAAACTGGAAATCATAATTTTTTGCTTATATTATTTATCCAACCCATGTAATTATTTTATGAAGACGTCTCGTGAAATTGGACAATTTTTATTATGAGCGTCTTGTTAGATAACGTATTATAAACTTCGGGTTTCAACTGTGCGATTGCAGCGCACCAGAATGGTTTTAATTCTTTGCTAATAATTATTGTTAGCAAAGATATCACTCATGGCAGTAATATTTACTGCTATATCGAGAATGTGCAATAATTCTACAGTAATTAAATTTGGGGTAGGGAAATTAGTCCTTACTATTATTAAACAAGAAATATAATTTTAATTAATAGTCAATTGAATATGAAATTGCATATAATTTCAATAGAATTATTTTATAGGTTAGAGTTCAAATATTGAACCTAATTTCAAGAAATAAATAGTTTAAAGCTGTCTAAATTTTATTAAATATGTTTGGAAATATATTTAGAATATAAAAATTAATTTTTTACGTATTATTTTAGTTACAGCAAGTAAGAAGTTTATATACAAAACCGAAAACACTTAGAGATATTAAAAGAAGAAACCTTGTGAAAGAATTTGCTGTTACAAGACTACGATACGTTGCCATGAAAAGGAATAACATTTTACCCAAGTCTATACAAGTACGAATTAAAATTAATATATAATCGTCTATTTAAAAAGTACATGTTAATTTAACAATATATTTATAGGACTTAGCTAGCGAAGCTTTTAACGATATTCCTCGACAATCAGCTCTTAGGCAATTGACACCTCGCTGTGTTATAACTTCAAGAGCATATGGCACTGTTCACAGATGGAGGCTTTCCAGATTTGTTTTTCGACACTTAGCTGATTATAACAAACTTTGTGGTGTTCAGAGAGCAATGTGGTAGTTCTTTTATAAAACGATCATATTTTAATAAATTATTACAGTGCTTTATTTGTAATGTTTAAAATTGCCTCGTATTCTTATTAGAAATTATGTACACTAGTTTGATAAGTTCTAATAAATCTTGTCTAACGATTTCAAAATTAACGATAATATAAAAAAGTATATTACTGATCTTAAATTGAAATGAACAATGTTAAATAGTATATATCCAAGGCTATGATGAAGAATAATTACATTATAATTCATATTTAGTTAATCCAATTAAAATTAAAAAATTTGAAAATAAACTTTTCTGTACTAATTCAGTAAATATACTTCTAGTTAAAAACAATTAAGCAACTAAAGGAATCTCTTTATTAATGTTAAATAATCGTTAAAAATATAATTTCTTATACGAAGGCTGGAAATAAGGAAAACCTCAAGATGGATTGATTGTTAATCTAATGAATAGAATTGATTAAGTATATGCATGCTTTGGTAATTTAATATTTATTATAATGCAAAAGACAAAGTCAATTAAAGTCAATTAATTCTGTAAATGAAAATTAAAAATTAATTATAATTATTTTCTAAATATTCAATTATAATGTGCACTTTAATTATATAAAAAGTAGATGAATTTAACTTTACTCATTTCTCATTTAAATAATCCCTATGATTTTTTTATAAATTTGAATTTACATTGAAATCAATACAATTCCAGTGTTTAAATCATATTAAAATAAATCATTATTTACAAATTTAACTGTATTCATAAGAAACTAATTATGAAAAATTGAGATTTAAAATTTTATTCCAAAATACTGGACTAAATTATATTTTTACATTTTTATTACTTTCTTATATTCATGTAAATTTTGTTAATGACTTTAACCTATTAAAGAACGTTTTTTGGTTGTTTATTACAAAAGATTGAATTCCTTCAAAAAAATAAACAAATGTTAATATTTAAAAATACAAGTTTGTTTAATTTAAAAGAATTTATAAAAATTAATACAGATATTTTTATTTTATTTATATTTTATTTTTACATAATTAAACTAAAATTTATTAACGTCGGTTACAATTAAATTTAACAAACAAAAAAAAATTTATACTTTTAATTATAAAACATAAAACATTATAATTTCATTAAGTAAATTTATTTGTTTCTATGTTTATATTAATTTGGTTTGCTTGAATTGTTTACATATCATTTAAAATATTGAAATAATAACAATTTTAATTTGTCTTTTTAAAAACATGCTTTTAATTTTCACAAATAGTACATTCAATGACTAATATTAAAAAAAACTAGTTATTTTTTTCGAAATAACGATTTTAATATTTTATGCATGCATGTTTTCTATGTCAATACCATTAATAGTAAATAATTGTTTCTAAAAATTACGTTAAAAATCTCTGTATCAAATTTAATCGCTTTTTAGCTGAAAATTTATGTACTTTTATGTTTAAAGTTATGTTATTTACTTATGTTTAAACATTAACATGAGCAATATTCAAGTAAAAATACATATATTACAGAAATTTTAGGATACTCTGACTTTTTAAACCAATATTGAAGTTAAATATTTATTTGAAAACTATCATTTTGCATTATAATATAAAAGAGCGATTTTAAGTATTGTATCATTTTAAAAATTTACATTCAATAGAAAGGAATTTTATTTATAACAAAATCGAATAACGTTTTATTTTTTGCATTTATACAAGTTTTTTTTATAAATAAGTTGTTATTAAATATTATTGCTGGAATATAAAGTATAGAGTAAATTTACAAAAACATTTGAAATCTGTATATCTCTTTATTGCTGAGCTTACTTATAGGTCTTATAAAATAATTTTATTTATATAATTTGAATACTCATGTTTACATACTCATAATTTATGTGTAATTATCAATATATAATCTACATTTTGCCAAAAGAATCATTAGCAGCAGCTGGAATTATAGTACACACTTATATAATAATATTTTTATATTGTATGTACATAAATGTATAAAATGTTCTACTCTTAATTTATATTTGTATTTAATATTTTTGTAAAGTATTTATAAGCGAGAGAAACAAAACTGAGAGGGAAATCTTTGTGAGTAAAACGAAAGGTGAAAAAGAAATTGTGGACATTTGAATGACTAAGTGGACATGAAGACTAAGCAGCTTTCAGTGGGGATTGTAGAGTATTGTCTCCGATAATCACAATAAGCTTTTCGTTCGCTTATCATTCGTTTAACCGTTTGAATACTTACAGAGTTACACCAATCCAACTGTTCAGAATCAAGTACATTGATTTATTACTTTAATGTATTTTAATTCATACAATTGCATTAATCCACTTTCGGCTTTATTCACTATCCTCAGATTATTTATACAATTATGAAATAATTAAAAAATCTATGAAAAAATGATAAAATAAAAACGATTGCATAGAAAGAACTACTAAATATTGCCAATATAATTTTAACATTATTATTATATATTATTATATATATTCTGTAGACTTTTACATTCTTAAAATTGTTATATCACTTATTGTATGTATAATATTATTTTCCTTGATCCCTTTCCTTATTAAACAAATTAGGTGAAGAATTTATCAATAATTTACGAGTTGCTCGAATTAAAACATTTTAAAAATTATATATTAAACAAATTAAAATATAAAGAATTATTTCAATTTAAAATGCACCTTTCAAAAGTAATAAAAATCGATTTTTATGCAGAATAAGTAAAAACAGACGAATAAGAAAGTGTAAATCTCACTATTTTATATCATTGCCAGCAGCTATTTATTTAATAATGTTCTTTCGACTACTAAAATAAATGAGTTCACAGTTGAAGCAATTAATATGATGCAAGACACGTAGTTTTCAAAATTTTATGAGTAAACGCACAAATTATGTTGCTTTATTTGTCAAGTACATTCTAGCCTTTCAGTAGAGTTTATTAGCTTCTCAGGGATGCCACGGAGTTCCGAATCTACGGTAAAAAAGAAATAGCCAGATAGATAAATAACTAGATAAATAGATCGAATTAGGGGCAGATGGTAATTTTTATGAGCATGCGAGAAGGGTGCGAGAGTGTGTAGTAATGCATTGAGGTGGGGAGTATTATACAGTTCTATTAACTGCTTTGACATTTTTTTCTCTTCCTCGTGCTTTTTCGTTTATATCACTACTTTTTTGCTGTATGCTATGCGTGTTGCTACTTATGCACACGTGAGAATATCTGGTGAAATGTAATGGCGACCTCTAATTGCCACTCTTTTGTTGTAGAAGAATCAAGTTATGCAGTAATTCTTCATATAGAAAGCTGATTTATGTGATTCGTTGCGTCTTTACAATGTCAATAAAAGTACCGTTGCAATGGATTTTCATGGTTAAAATATTTTGTTTAAAAATTTATTTAATGAAGTTAATAAAATGACCGTAACTTTCGCATACATTAAATTTATTATATTCATATAAAAGTAGAACTATTCGTATAACAATAATAATAATGAATATTATACGTTTATTTAAGTAAAAATCAACCATTCGTATATATATATATATATACGAATGGTTGATTTTTACTTAAATCAACGTTGTAAAAAAAATTTTAGATATTATTCTTTCTAAGAGTTTTTAATCTGATATTTTAAAACATTTTTTTAGGCAACAATAAAGACATGGCAATCTATAAAGAGATCTACAATCTATAAAGAGATATTTATCAAGATTACATTATTTAAAAAATAATCCATAAGCAGTTGTTAACGTATAATAATAATACAATAATATAATATGAGTGTAAATTCAATGGAGAACAATATACCAACTTTAAATATAATATATAATTATTAAAATTTTTATTTAATTCTCTAATATTTTTATTAATAATACATTATAATAATTAACTTATTTATATTTCTGAATATTAATGATTGGCACAAAAGTATTGATCAAAAATTATCTTTTATTTTCAAGAGGCTGTAAAAATAAAATGTAAACTATATAAGAAAAAAGTCGTAGATTTCATATGCTTTATCGATTTATGTTATCTGAAATGCACTTACCACGTTTTTTTTTTAACTTATTACATAAATAATACCGTAATATATGAACTCACGTAGTATAGGTATACCCGTGGTGATGCCAGAAAATTTTATATTTCTTTTACTAGATATAAAGTATAAAATAATGAAGTATTTTTAAGTTTATATACATAAAATATTATTACTATTATTAATACTGTAATTAAGTAAAAATATTATTAATTATAACATTTAAATATTTTGTATTAACAAAATCAGATATTATGCATAAGTAAGACTAATAATTTTTGGTTAGAATAATCGTTTATTCTTTTTTTTCATTAAAAATATTTTACAATAAATGCATAATTTTTGTCAATAATATTTATACAAATCTCACATATTTACAGTTACATACATGTTACATATTACAACAATTAATTTATAATATTACCTATTTCGGATATTGTTCAAAGAATATAAGTGTGATTAAATGTAAATATAAAATGTGAATTAACACCAATAATAAATGCAATAGCTTTCGTCGTGTTATTTAAGTTTATTAAATGTTTTAAATAATTATATTAATTTTTTTCAAGCAATATAATAACCAATTATAAAATTATTATTTTAAATATTAGTTCTCATTGATTAGTAACTAATTTCTCATAATAATAAGCTTTATTCTATTAATAAAGCAATATTTTACAAAATAAAAGTGTAATTAGATTTTTAATCGATAAAATGAACGATATTTATCAATATGAACAATTTGAATTATTTTTCATTTATTTTATGTTGTACCATATTAATAGTTATTGTATTATTAATATAACATATGTTATCATATATGCTTGCATCTATCATAATATAGTTTTATAACGGAATTACTTTAGTCACCGTTATCTGTGAATTTGTAATAATAGTCTAACAAATATCCTATGAGATTACAAACTTGATAATTATAAACATATTTATTATATCTTATAGTGAAGTAATTATATCATATAATATGAAAACACTAAAATTGTAAATAAAATTATATATGTAATAATCTGTAAAGGTAATGCAATATAAAGTGCCTTCGTATCTTAATGGAATTATATTTATATAAAAAGGTAAGGACTGAAAATTTGTTTGTTGTGTGTTGATCTTTTGTTAATGTAATAACTTAGAGTCTATTCAGAAACATCTGTCATAATCAAAAGTAATAATATTAAATATTTTATTAAGGATGAATTATTAAATTTTTGTATAAAAAGAATTAGAAATATAAAATATTTAATTTTTTGTTACGTTTTTAATATTACTTGTATTGAATTAACATTTTCATTTAATCATTGATTTAATAGTTTATTTGAATTATATTTTTATTAAATAATTTATCTAATTTTAATTAAATCTACTATTATTTTATTACAAATATTAATTTTGTTTTTTTCTTGTAACGAAAGTTATACATTGTTTTTTTAAAGTCAAAATTAATATTACTGCTTAAAAATACTAGTCATTACAAAAAAGAATTAGAATTTAATGATAAATTAAATTATTAATTATAAGACAGTATATTTTGATGAATTTAATTTTCGCTGATATACTTCATAAATTTTCAATACTACTTAAGAATTTCTGTCAATAAATTAAGAAAGCGTTGATTTTTTGATTTTAAAAATGACTGTTAGAATGTTAAAAATAGCTTTGTAATGACATATACATTTTACATTGTTTTATAATACAAATGCATATTAACTATAAATTAAAAAAAATATTTCGTTTAATTTTTTTTATGTAGTAATCATCGAATTATCAATAAAATAAGATTAGTTTAACGTTGAATATTATTAATTCCTTGACACGTAACAAATTATTTTCAAATTATCTTATAATTATTGGAAATTATGTAATTACAGACGACACCAATTTTTTTTTGTAGCCATTTGAGTAATTAAAGGATTTCTACAAGTTGACACTACTATTAATATAACCGACGTTAGCTATTAAAAATTGAAAATAGGTTTATCACGTTTCAAGGGGGTTGTTTACTTTTTAGTTTAAAATTAATAAATTTTAAAATATTTTATATTTTATATATATATATATATATATATATATATATTTTATATATTTTCTTATTAGGTTCAAATAATATATAACAATATAGCAATGCAATATATTTGATTAAATAATTATGTTTTCAAAAATTACTTGACAGATAATAAATTGATACTCGAGCGCTGTTGATTATGAATAGTTATATTTAACCTTTTATTTTTTCAGTACTAGGTAACTCGAGTTTCTCATGTCAACTAAAAGCAAAAGATCATTAATTAAAGCGAAACATCAATGTCAAATGTTAGTACGTATGAAAGTCATTTTGTGGTATAAATGCTATGAAGTTAGATCACACACCGGATTAGGAAATAGTTTAATAAATTAAACATTCTAAATGTTAAGACAAAAAGGTAATGATAGGAAATTTGAAGCGTAAAAGCTATAACAATGTCTTTGAAAAAATAAGATCTAATTTTGGTCTCAAGATGCTGTCGTTATTTGGAAATGCCAGAGGTAGGAAAAAGAAGCCTCAACTTGCCCGATTACCGATTCTTTTTAAAATTCATCCTATTAAGCAGTATAATCGTAAAGAATTTTCTAACGACAACGTAAGTGAAAATAATTAAATAAAATTAAATTATTTTGTAATTAAATAAATGAAAGTATACATTAAATTTTGCAAATATAATAAATTACTATACATTTCCACAAATTGGTTCTCACTTGGTAATGTGTTCTATTTATGAAGTTATATAATTTTTGTTAACACAAGCATATGTATCATTTTATATGTAAATAATTAGTAAATATAAATTAATTATTTAAAACTAGTTATTGAAAAAGCAAAATTTGGTTTACATAAAAACAATTTAACTACTCTAATATTCTTAATAAATTAAAATAATTTACATAAAAGTAAAAACTTTAATTTGATAATAAATTTGCAGGATCCGGAATGTTTCCATCGAGCAATAGGTTCCATTTTATTTTTATCACAATTTTTTGGTATTCTGCCCATTAATCATATTCGGGCTGTAAATATCAAAAAATTTTCATTCAAAAGGTTTTCACCTCGAACTATCTATTCGTACTGCATACTTTTTACAATATTCATTATGACATTAATATCTGTTGTACATCTATTGAAGACACTTAACACCGATAGTTTTCAAACAAAAGGTTGGTAAAAAATTTCCTTTATTTAATTTAATTACATCTATATTTATTAATTAAAAAAAATTAATAATAAAGTAAAAAATTAGGTTTTTCATATGAATTTAATATAATTGTGTGTATGTTTCATGTGTGGGTAGAAATGTTAAAATAATATATATTAATTTAATCTAATATCATTCAAAATTAAAATCAATAAGACTGATTTGAGATTGCTTTATAAATTTTTTATTTCGAGATGTACTTCCTTGGTATTAAAATATACGAATGAAGAACGATAAGTTGACGTGAAAAAATATTCATAAATGAAATTTTTGTACAAATCATTACCCATAATTTTATAATTTTAAATCATGATATTCCAATGTAATTTGTACCTTATAAATCTATATAAAAACTGTAAGTTAGTTTTCATTAGTTTGTTTCAATAATTTCAATATAAAATTTTTCTGCTATTTATTATAAGATTTTCATATTTATTTTCAGGCGGAATATCTGACGCTACTATAGGAGCTGTATTTTATGGCAACAGCCTGATCGGTAATATTATGTTTTTGCGGCTCTGTCCTAGATGGATTTCTATACAATATGACTGGAGAGCAATGGAGCAAATACTTGATGAGTAACTGACAATTTTTTTAATTTTAATCGGATTTGATTTAACATATTTAGCTTGTATTTCACATGAATAAAATACGCTATTGGTTCATCTTCTATTAAATCAATTTATTTACTTCTAGGAATGATTTTTAAAGATCATTATGTATGTTATAAAATTATTGTATACATTTCTTTTAAAATTTTTATGCCCACAAAATTTTAAAAATAGTTTTAAGTGTCTGTATATAAAGAATATAACATGCCGTTAAAAAATAATGATTGCGTAAGCTTTATGTAAAACGTATAATTTTTGTAATCATTAATAAATATGCCAATTCCTTCATAACTACACTTTTATAACTATACTTGTGCTACATACTAAGATAAATAGAAATAGTATGCAGTTAGATTTTAGATTAGTTAAGTCTAACTTTTAATTTTATTTCGAATTTTTATATTATCGTCTTCTTATCTCAGTGGTTGCAATAAAGACAGAAAATGGAAGAAACCCGCTCTACGGTGGAGATTTACAATAATTAGTTGGACGATCCTAAGCCTCGCCCTTCTGGAACACCTTCTAAGTATGGTAAAAAATGTTCCCCTAGCGGACTGGGGATCCCACAGTTTCGGGGATTTTATTTTTGTCTATACAAAGAAGTCACATCACTTCATCATACAAAACAGTATATTAAATTATATTATTTAATTATTTACAGATTCTTTTTTACTGCTTTTAACATACTCCATCATATAAATTATAAACATGGGATTTTATAAAGTTATCGCGAACATTGAAAAGTTGTTTAGTTTTATAGGTATAAATGCTTTTTATTTTAAATTCTTTGAAATACAGAAATTTATTCCAATGCACCTTTACTCTTTCATTACTTAAATGTGCTTGAAAATATCAGAACGCTGAAATTTTATATTTTTTCTTTGACAATTTAATAAGGTACATAAGTTCATGGTTTCTTAATATAATTTACCTTTATAATTTAATTTAGTATAAGATATTTTTAACTATTAATAAAAATAGATGTATTCAGTCATACTGTCGCTTGTAACTGTTAATAATAAGATTTTTAAAGGTGGAGTAATAAAACAAATATTTGTACATTAAAAATAAGCTTAAAATGAAATAAAATTAAAAATTTTAATTGATAAGATACTGATAAGTATTTAATGTGAAAAATATTATAATATCCTCCGTTTCTCTTTTTCTCATTACGTAGTTACGCATTTATATATATATATATATATATATATATATATATATATAATATTTATAAATATTATTTGAAATTTCATTTCTAACAATGAGATAAATCAATCTAAATTTGTATAAGAATATAATCTAGTGTTTTTAAATTAAGATGGGTTCGATAAATTATTACATGCGACGAAAATATTATAAGTTATTACTGTACAATATAAAAAAAAGTTCAAAAACATCAGATTATCATCCGGTTCTTGCATTATATTTCTTTTATATCATCTGAAATATAAAAAATTTCATTTTTATTCATTTTAACATTGATATTCTGTAATAATTCATTTATTTTGTTGAAAGTGTTATAATTTCTATGTAATTTTTTCTTAAGTACTTATAAAAACTTCTTCGTATCTTTTAAAACGAATTATAAAAATTAAATCTTTTAAATCTTTTAAAACATCATCTAGTTAATAAAATATTAACAATAAGATCTTAACTTTTTTATTTTAAGAAAAAGCATATTCTATTACCTTTTTCAGTCGACTACAATTTTTTATTAGGCTTATTCATCTTCGTGGTTAGTAAAATAGCTACATTCACGTGGAATTTTACAGACTTATTTATAATGATAGTAAGATAAATTTGTGTTTAACAAAATAAATAAAAATATTTCTTTATTTAAAACAATTGATTTCAGATTTCAACAGCCATAGCTGAAAGATATAAATGTTTAAATGAACGTATTATTAGAATAACACCAGAACGCGTAACAATTGCTGATTGGTACAAATTTCGTCAAAGTTATGCTATATTGAGCACTCTCGTAAAAAAAATTGATAATGAAATTTCGGGAATTGTGCTTTTATCTTTCACTAATAATATATATTTTATTTGCCTTCAACTTTTGAATGGTTTATCGTAAGTATAACAAACAGAAAATTTTCTATTTAATTTTCTTCAAATAAAATTTACTATAATTATGTATATTTATACATTTATAAAAATATTGAAATTGATATAATATGTAATGATATTAACTGGTTTTTCATACATTTAACTTAAAATTCTTTTATTAGATCAATCAAAATCTACTTCTCGTAATATTTATTTTTGATACAATGAAATAAATTATATATGATTTTATATAATACATAAAATTTTATATATTTTATATAATATATAAAAGAAGATACTTTGATGAAATAATCAATGTAAATATGTAAATTCTGAACCTATTTTATATTACCTTATATTCAGAATAAGAAACAATTAATTGAAATACAGCATTAATTAATAAATAAAGTGATACAAGTCATGTAACTAGATTTAAAAAGAAACAATAGTACATCCTAATGATAATAATATGGATTATTATGGCAATAAAGGAAATACTTTTATATCAGTAGGAACCATTAGAAATACATTATTGTCTAAACTATCATTCAATTATCACTTTCTAAAATTAATTTTATTGCTGTAAAATATTTTTAAATACTTATGAACTATGTTTAATTATATTATTGGACCGTTTGATGAGATTGATATTGTTTTTTTTTTTATTTAAATTTAAGATTTCTTAAAAGTATTTAAAGTCTATCTTGTTTAATTACAAAAATAACTTGTATTTATTTTTTTAAAGACCCAACAATTCAGAAAATCCAATAATGAATTCCATTTATTTCTTCGGATCATTTATATTTCTAATTGGGCGAACAACGGCTGTAACGTTATTAACTGCTCGCATCAACGATCAATGTAAAGTTATTTTACCAGTTTTATATAACTGTCCATCGATCAATTATTGTCTTGAGGTAAATAGTATTCAAGTTCCAATTATATATAAATTTTAACTTTGGAAACAAATAGAATAATACACTTATATTGGAACAATTAAATACATTACAAAAAAGGCTAATAATATATAGATTTCATTGATAAAATTATATTAAAAAATTTTTAAATGGTAAAAAATAAATCGTGATTCTTTTCTTTTATAAAAATAATTTAAGCATTTTTAAATGTAATTTTAAGGCACAGCGATTACAAAATCAAATTTGTAATGATGACGTGGCACTAACTGGACATCGTTTCTTTTCCATCACTCGAAATTTTATGCTTGCAGTAAGTATAATCATAAACATAAATATAATATTAATCACAGATATCTTTTATGTTTTATACTTAAGGTTGCTGGAGCTATTGTGACATATGAAGTTGTTTTATTACAATTTAATATTGCTTTGCAACGAGATTGAAAGCGGAATTTCATTAGAAGTTGAAAAGAGAGAAATAACAAGACTTACACATATTTTAGTTATTAATATATTTTTTCATAAATTTTAATAGAATCTTAATCTTAATCTTTAATAACAATTATTATTCTAGAATTTCAGCAATGATTTGTATTCAATTATTAAATAAACAGATTCTTTCACTATTTATTCATTAGTTTGGCATCATTGATAGGTGTTACTTACATGCATTCATTGTTGAATATTTTACTATGAACCATCAAAACATATTTTTTATTAAATGCTCGATTGGATATATTATCAGATAGTTTTTCAAATTACATGAAATGTTATTTCCTAAAATGAAGGTATAATGGATACAAAATTTTTATCTAAATCAATATATAATTGCTTAATTAAAATATTACGTAAAAAATATTACTAATAGTATAAATAAAAAAAATATATTTCAATCTCAAAGCCAATGGATTTTGATGAATTTTTAATTTTTGTCTTCTAAATCTAACAAAAAATATATATTAAGTTTCGAACAATTAAACTTTTATGAAATTAATAATTTTTATTTGATAGAAGCAATATTGAGGTTTTTAAGATTCAAGTAATTTGTTAAATAAAATACGTTACTTTTCGTATGTATTTGGAAAATATTCAAACGAGTGTTTTTAAGTTATAGTACGATAATTTTTATAAATATGCATATATATATATTATTTTATGGAATAAAACCCGATAGTATTTTAGTCAAATCAAACTAACGATTATTATTGAAGAAATGCATTGTAAGGAATGGATGGTTGATTTTGAAAATATTGTAAAAATTACCGTTAATTTTATTTTAATATGAAAATAATGTATTTAAAATAATTTTATCAGTTTTGTTTCAAAATGCTATTTATTTTATGTAACGTTTATCATTTTTTTATAAAAATTTATTTTATGACAATTATGGTAGTTTTCAAATATTGAAATATTTGAGTAACCTTTATTTTAAGGTTAGTTTACATTTCATATTAATTATATTGCATTTTTTTTTTAATGAGTAAATAAAATGTTATATGTTCAGGTAAAAGATAATTATAGATTCAGTATTTAATATGGTTTGACATTAATTAATGTTTTACCATTAATTAGTAATTTAGATAACTATCTATATAAAAGGAAAATTTCATTAATCCATTTATTTATATCGTGTATATCCTTTAAAGTATTGTAGTTAAAAAGGGCAAAATTAATGATTCAAATAAATTTTAATTAAAAAGAAATTTTAACATTGAAATAATTGAAATACTTATGCAAATGTATTTAAAAGTACTTAATAAACGATTTTGAATAAAGTTAATGAAATGTATAGGCAAAGAAATTATTTATTACTTCATATTACATTAAGTATATAAAATAGCTTAATTATTATATTATATTTAAAAACATTCTACTTCACTTTTCTTTTTACTAGTTCTATATATTTATGCATACGTGTGTAAGGTAGAAATTTGAACAATAGTTATTTGACAATAATTTACAACTACATGGTTTGTAAGTACTTTACGTATTTTTTTTTTATTAAAATTGCACCTATAACGGATTTAATTAGACAATATAATAGATAAATAATTATATTATATATGAGAATTATTGTGTCGTATAAATAATATTTTAACTTTAGGCGATTTATAAAAAAAATGTTCAAGCTAATCGGTTATACAATTTGAGAATTATTTTATAATAAAACGAACGAAATTCTGAATTAATATAAGGTGTATAAAATTTATTAATGAATCAACCTTTATTACATTAAATAAAAGTATAACAAACATTTTTATCCATAAATATTATTATTTTTTAGAAGTTTTATTGAATGTATTCAATAATAATTGCAAATATTTGATCATTAATATGATTTGGAATTATAAATCTGATAATGTAACTTAGTGAGCTGTTAATTACTTTAGAATTCAAGATAATTACTTAAGTTCCGACTTTATTAATTTTAATATAATAGGATAATAAATTGCCTGATTAAATAAAGTACTTTTATTCTGAAAATTATTATTATATATTAATATTATATATAACGCAATTATGCTTTTATTTATGTCGTATTCATTAGAATGGTTAGATAATTTACCAAACGCGAAATTCAAATCTCTATTATGAGTACACGAATATAATTTCAAAGACAATTCAAAAAAAATTGAAACGAGTTCTTCTTTAAAAGAAGATATCAATTCTATTTAATTCATAATTATATATAATAAGAGAATAGCTATTAGAAATAAAAGGTATAATTATAAAAAAAAGTGCTAATATAGAGTGATATTTTTATTCGAATATACAAACAATAAGTGTATTAGATAAAAATAATATACTGTTAGGTATTAAATGAAGAATAATTATCCAAATCTAAAAGAATCACATTTTTGATAACTAATAACGGGAAACCAATAACGGGCAGAAAGTATCTTTCATGATTTGGTGTAATTTTGTTTATAGATATAGAAATATAATTTTTCTAAGTAAAAAATAATACAAATGTCACAAAAATGGTTGTATGTAAATACTAGTACTTCATTACTTATCGACCATACAATCAAATTACTATTCTCACAAAATGTATTATTTATAAGACTTTTCAAAGAAATTAGTTTTAATAATTAAACTGAATATCAGATATCTAACCGAAAAAGTGTTTGTCATTTTTTTTTAAGTATAATGAATGATGTTATTAATATAAGTTTTTTAAATCAGGTCAAACGATTGTATTGAAACAAAACAGTCAAAAGAAAAGGTCGAGCAAATGATGAAATCAATAAAAAACTCATTATTTAAATATGAATGAAAAAGTCTCTTTACCTGTACATAGCACTTTAATATATCATAAGAATTTTAGTGAAAATAATACTAATGTAATATATAAAATTAAAATCTTTTATTTAAGGATATGTATTAAAAATAAAATATGCATAATAAATTGCTTTTGAAAATCTACTACAAATATCAAAATTAAAAATCCTATCCTATATTATTTTTTAACGGACTTACAATAATATATAGAATGCTGAATTCTTAAAAAAAAAAAAAACTTATTTAACTAATAACTCGGTTAATAAAATATATACGCTCGTTTTTTATACATCCGTTTATTTTAATAAGTTTACTATTAAACGAATAAATATAATTACAGATAATTATGATAATTCGTTGAGTTTTGATATATTTTTTCAATTAATTTTATTATATTTTTGAGTTTGAAATCAAGCATTTCACTCAATATGTTCTGCGAATAAATTTATTAAACTTAATAGAATTGATAGACTCATAATTGTTTTTTTCATGTATTCATGTTCATACTTTGATAAAAAAAAAAAGAAGAAGAAATTGTGGTTGAGAATCGTTTGATGTGCTCGTCATGGCTCGATGAAATGCTATATTACAATAGTAGAAGAATAAAATTAATGTCGATGCTACAGCATATCTTTCATATTTTACAAAAATTATATTATTCGAATATAAATGTTTGCTTCACCTCACAAACTTTAGTGATGTTGGAGTCACTCGGTTCATGATCAACATGAACAGCATTGAATTGTACCAAGACAAGTTCATATGTGACGATTGTCCCGGCCACCTAGAATACCAATATCATTTATAAGTCAAGTCGAGTTGTTTATAGCCTAACTGTTTTATATAGGGTACGTTAATATAAGATTGAACAAAAATTATGATTTGAATTGTCTTTAAATCCAAATTGTAAAAATGTCCTTTCTGTATGATTTATTTCAAATTAAAATTAAAATGAATTTTTTTTACACATTATTATTTTGTTTAAGGACATCTGCATTCAAATAATTTTTTCATGTAAGCAATAAGTAGAAAATGAGGCGAATATTTTGAACTTATAACTTGAAAAATAAGTTATTAATTAAATTATTGCATGATTGATAACATGAAAAAAATTATACTATAAATAAAAAAGTAAATTAAGTTTCAAAAAGTTTTAAATATATATTAAATATATTTAAACATTAAATAATATTAATATATTCGACGGTACTTTTCAACGGACTTACCGTTAGTATCAAACTACGCGTGATAGAGAAGAACTTCATTCCCGTTAAACTAATGGTATCCGTCGTCACTTGTATTAAAAATCTGCGAACCTACATTAATATTATCTTCATTAATTTTTACAATATTTGATTACTAAACTATTCTGGTATTTCTAAAACTTTATTTAATTTTAATATTTACTCGATAAATATCGAATACACGCATAATTGATAATTCAAATTTGTCATAATTATTATTTGAACAAAATTTTTATTTTTACCAATATATATTTTTTATATTAACCTAATTATTATTATTTTACTTGATTAGCTTAGTAAAATATTGGACATTGTTTTAACTAAATGACATTTAAATATCTTGTAATTAATTTATATATATATATATATATATATATATATATAGAAAATTAAATAGAAGTAGAAGAAAGAAAAAAGAATATTATATATATATATATATATAGAAAAGAAATCGTAATTCATGATCTTAGAAAAAAATAGATGAAAAATTTTGTAAAAATTGAAGATTAAAAATTTATTATTGTAAAATAATTACTTCTGTCGAATAACTTGCACTGCAAACACTATATAATATAGGAGCTGGTAAAAGTGATTCATCATGGACTGTGGCTGCGTATAAAGAGACCGCCGATGCTCTTGCAAGAAGGAAGCCAAATGAAAAACAGAAATATACAGTCTGAATGGCGTTTGGCATTGGCCTGTGAAAAGTAAAATTATCTAATACAATAACTATGTCTGATTAATACAAATGATAATTATTTTTAACACAAACTAGAATGCTAAAATTCTTCTGAATACAGCTTAAGTAATTATTTTACTACATTATCCAATATATTAAAAAATGATTTTTATTTCCTGTTTGTGTACACTAATAGAATAACTAATCGAAGATTAATTTGAAAAATTTCATTATACAATTGAGTGGTAAAATTATGAAAGCAGTCTTTGCTTAGGATAAGACAATATCCATTATTCTGACTTATCTATAAAGATCTTACGCTACCTATTCTTATGATGATTAATATCCAGCATAATATGTAATGTGATTAACTCGGTGAATAATTCACTTAACAGACCAATGGTAATTATTAATACACCCCATTTTATCATTTGATAAGAAATATTAATAAATACACAATAATTTCAGTTTTACAATATAAAATTGTCATTGATAGATTAAGAAAATCGATTTTTTTTTCTCGCTTTCTTATTATTAAGAGAACAAGACACTCTTATTGCACTTTAACTAAAAAATAAGGTTTATTTTTATTTAATCGTAAAACTTGAAAATAAATGTAGATATCAGTTAATACCTACTATTTATATGATTGATTTACACACACAGAAATAGGGATGGGGAGGGGGAGGGGAGAAAGAGAGAGTTATATCATATAAAATATTATTCTATCAATATTATTTTACTTAATTATTTTACTTTACTTTACTACAAAATTACTCTATCATTATTGTCATTGGAAATTCTTTAAAATTATAAATTTGAAAATTTGAAGGAAATGAATTTGAAAATTTGAAAATTTTATATTTTTATATAATTGGTTTTACAACATAATCTACACCAATGTTAAAAAACAAAAATTATAAAATTGAAGTATAAAAATTAGGATGTTTTTTTTTTTATTAAAAATCAAGATTTGTAGGTAATTCATTAAAACTTTGTAATTTTTTAATTTTTGCACATGATCGGAAACTCTAAATTTTAGTATTTTCAATATTGTACATTCTAATGACTTAGGTTTAACATAGCACATATTTAGAAAATAATTGTTTGACTAATGGGTCTAACGCTAATTTTGTTTTATTATCTTAAGAGACTATGATTAACAAAGTGTGTATAATAAAAGTAAAGTTTTGACATTACTTGAAAGAGTTGAGCAGCTGAATGCAAATGAAGTAGAGATTAGTAGCAAAGGATAACAGAACGATGTCGGAGATTTGGGAATCGATGCGTCGCGTCACTGTAGCCAGCCGATTGAAATCAATTCGGGCTTCGGCCCACCACCATTCCGGCATTGCCTTTACAATGAAACAATGCTAATTTTGATGTTAGTTGGGCCAGTGCGTCATCGCACAAAATGCTAGTGTACTTAAACTCTAGGTTTATGATTATATTAGCTTAAAATTTGTATGCGGTATATATTTTCCCTATAAATGCATGCCTGTTATTGAATCGATAATATCTTTCAATTATTTAAATAATATTTTCATCCAACCAGAATTTAATAATTATTTAAATTACACTAAATGTGTAAAAATTTTGAAGAAGAAGGAACATGATTAAATAAACTTAATAAATAAATTATTAATAAATTAACCGTTGCAATAATAAAATTTTTTAAATAAAATACAGTTTTCTTACAATTTTTATACTCTATTCATATAACATTATTTATTTATAATAGTACTATCGTCATATAATCCTGTTAAGTAATGCTCTCTCAGAAAAATGTAAATATTTATAAGGAGTCTAACAATGAGGATAACAAATTATTAATTATCTATATTGTGATTATTAAGTTCTATTTAGAATATTATATAAGAATTGTTCATCGATTCAATAAATAACCTAACCTTACCAATAATAATGAGTTTCAATTATACATATACTACAAATTAATGTATAATATTTTTTAAACTTAATTAGTACGGCAAAATGAATTGATCATAAATTATATAACAACTTATATTTTGTAGACATCCAACCTAATGTTTTTGTATTTAAATCACTCTGATTATGAAAGAAATGTATACACATCCATTATGATATTATTGTCGATAATTAAAACATATGGTAAAATATATTTTTGCGTGTGATATACCTTGCCTCTGATTGAGTACAGTCTGTTGTTCAATTGTCTAAATTGGTCGGTAAGTGCAACGCTAATTAGGATAAGAAATAAGTCCATAAAATTCCAAGAAAACGTACTGAGAATATTAACAAATTGAACAATAAATCCTTTCCAAAATGCATAATTTGAGTTTGTAAACATCTAATAAAGAGTGACAAAATAAAAATTACTTAAATCATTAGAGGCAATTTCATAATAAATATAACATTTTTTTTACAAACTTGTGGAAATTGAAGCGCAAAGTATGTAGCAACAATGTTGGTATCTCCACGAAGATTTGCACATTCCAAGGCACTAACATATCCAGCCAATATTGAGAGGGTATGCTCCACTGACATGTGATCATTTATACAATTAATTATATAATTGATTGATTGTAATTTGATATAATTATACAATTATCTATGCTGACGAATATGATCATATTTTTAAAGTTCAGCTCAATTTCATTTTTTTTTTTGTAAATATTGATAAGATCAAGACTAGTTACGAGGATAATGAAATAACTTAATAAGGAAAATTTATATAACTGACGAATGAAAATGCAGATCATACCGTAAATTGAAATTGAAATTATATATATATATATATATAGTTAAGGATATTTGTAAATCTAATTTTAATTTGTTAATAATGGCTAGTGCCATAACAATATTTCATCTATCAATACTATTAAATTATTTTAAGAAAGAGAAAATAAAAGCTTAAATTTTAATCGAGACGGTATTTTTATTTTTATCACTATGATGTATATATTTCAAGGAAAGACGGAAATGAAATTATGACAAAAATTTTATTGGTTTAAAATAAATAATTTTGTTTATGCTTAATTATGCTTAATAGCATAAGTGTTCTTAATTTTGTAGGTTACTCGTACTCTTTAGTAAGAATTAAGATATTCGATTGGGATCAGATTGACTATGTCTATTGAATTCCGAATTAAATTATTTATTTTAGTCATAATTCTTGGTTATAACTCTAGGAATCAATGTTTTATTTTTTTAGAGCGTTCATTAGCCCGTTAATTAGAAGTAATTTTAAATTACTACTCAATATTATCGGGACGTACTCATAAAATACCACAGTCTCGGAAAGAGGAATTATTATAATCAAAGACTAAATGTAAAAAGTAGATGTTGACGTTGAAGGGGAAGGGGTCGAGATCTATTACAACAAACACGTGGTTATACATTTATCGAAGGACGGAGTTAAATCGAATTTGCTCATAATTATATGCGGCTTACCTAGAGCCAGGACCATTACGATAATACTTAAGATTTTAAATTTGAGGGCAAGGGTAGGTGTGGTGGTCCGGTGGGGATTGTGTCTCGCTGCCAGTTCCCGCTCCATGTTTTCCCAGGAGATGGCAAATCCGGGCCATTGGCGGGCGAGCTTGAGGAAGAGCAGTGCCGTTATTCCGGCCGTGAAAAAGAATACGAGATTGCCTGCGAATCCCCAGATATATTTGCTTAATTATATTAATTACGTATGTCGTTTTAAGCGTTCGCACAATTACTTGTATAACTAAAATGTATTTTGAGATCTGGCGAACCGAAGAGATTTTTATTTTTTCGAATAAGCATTAAGTAATCAAATCAAAGCCTTTTTTTATACGAGTTAATTTATTCATACTTTTTAATATGACTTATATACAGAGGTGGTGTAGTGAAATTGTAACGATAAACGCTTCGAAATTAATAATTTTATTTAATATTAAAACAAATTTCTTAAATTGTTTAGGAATTTAAATCATTCTACAGAAAATATATCTACTGAATTGTTTGTTTCATTTCTTATTTATTAATGTGAGCGTGAGCACTTCTTTTAATTATATACATTTAGGTAATTAAAGCCATATACATATATTATATAGATTTATATAATAAAGTATAATTTTATTTAAAAAAAAAATACAATATTTTTAACGAATGTCTATTAATTAAAAAATGATAGGCTGAAGGAAAAATTTTAAAACAGAGCTATAAATATGTAAATAATTCAATGCATAAACAGATATATGGTATTAATTAATTTAAACCCGTTGAAAAATATTATTGATTAAATGCTCTCGAATTCTTACTTGTTTTACTAGAAGTGATGGAGCTGGTCGCTAAACGATAAACACTAAACAATGTCAGAATTATGGAACCTAACGTAGATATGCAGCAATACAAGATTTTTAAACTGCTCCATGTGAATCTGTTAATGTTATGAGTAAATAAATTAATAAGAAATAGTAAATAAAATAGGATTGATTCAATTTCAAATTATTTTCTCGTAATTTTTATACTACATAATCCTTATTAATTACTTTATTCTTATAATTGCGGCAATCATTAGGTTTCAAATAATACTAAATATTTACGCAAAATTTTGTTTTATTTGTAACAATTGCGATTAGTTATAATATAAATTTTACAATCTATTAATACCGTAGAAATATATAGTTATAATATATATATAAATATTTCAAACTTTCTTTTCAAAGGAGTAGCATAAATATTAATAATTTTAGTAACCTTAAATCGCTTGCATTGTCTGATTTAATGCCGCTGATTGGAAAAACAGCAAAACATTGAGCCAATATGATAATTGGCCTTAGAGCACAGTGAAAACTTCTAGTTCTGTCAACAAAATTGGCACCGATATTCGATTTGTCCGGCCTGGATACTTTAATTATTAAAAGCAGAAAACAGTATGTAATTTGAATATATTCTTATAATATCGATATGTTAATATTTTAATTTCTTTAATATGTTTCTTATTATATTAAATATGTCGTAGCAACATTTTTATATTTTCGGAGATATTAGCATAAGACTTGATTTATTAAATTTGGAGCGTCTTATTGTAATTTTATATTTTTACATTCATTATATTACTACAAGTATAAATATGAAAATATACAATCTCTAAGCAGTAATCTCTAATTTTCATTAAAATATATAAATAATTTATATATATATATATTGATTAATAAGCTTTGTCGTTTTATACATATGCTTAAGGCTTGCTATTACTCTATTATTTACTGACTAATATAAAATCAAAATATAAATATTTGAATATAATATTTTATATAGTTAATGAATGAAGTAGAATTACAAAAATAATTCTGTTTATGTCTTGACAGGAAGTTTAAATTTTATTAAAAATAAATACTAAAAATCAGACGGTAATTAATATAGAATATTAATTACCACAAAAGCTTACAAAGTATAATAAAAAGTCAATAAGTTATAAGCAACTCACTGTTCATTTTACAGGATTTGAATTTTGCACGCCTCAGCAAATCAATTTTTGACAATCTGAAATATAATTGACACATGAAAATTATTGTTATTCTCACTATAGTCCTCTTTGATGACGTGAAATTATAAGTCTCCTCAAGCGACTCCGTAAATCAGCATTTAAAAAATTCAATTCAATCGAAGCAGAGACTATTGAATCACATAGTTGAGCAGTAGAAAGTATAAGACGAACTTGATATTTGCAAATCTCGAGTTTGATCATATAAAACTCGGTAAATAGTGATGATTCAATAAGCATTGCTGTAAACGACAATTTATACTAGAAAAAAAAGACTCGTACGCGTGATTATTTATTTAATGCTGTGTATTACCGTACCAAACATAATCGTACAGGCAAAGCTTGTTTAAGCTTCAATCGTGTTTTCCCCTTTACATCTATTTTAAGCTTTTTGCCTCTGTTTGTTCATCGCAAAGAAATTGCGATGTAACTTTTGCCACTATACTTATCTATACTTATATATTTGACATTATGCTTGTGAAGAGTTTACTTATTGGCTTATTTATTTTGTAATTAGTTACAAATATATTATTGAAATTCCTGTAGTTTTTAATGAAAAATGCAAAGAAGAGTTGTTAATTATACGAACATATTATATATATATATATATATATATATATATATAAAGGATTTCATTAAAAAGAAATTTTAAATTATATTTGATTTTTTTTTTCATTTTTACTTACTATAGTTAAAATCAATCACCAAAAATCCCCAATAATACATATAATAAATCCAAATTTATTACTAATTCTTATAAGTTTTTTTATATTTTCTTTATAATATTTTACTAAATACAATTAAGTTTAATTATATTTGAAATTGAATTGAAAATTAATTGTTTTTAAGCTTTTATATATTTAATACGTATATAATTCTTTATGTAATAAATCCATGTAATTGTATAATGCAAATAGTAATTGTATGAAAATTATAATTATTCATATACTTATAAATATATAAATAATGAAAATTGTAAATATTTTTTCATTGTTATTTCTGACTACACTAATTACACATAAATTCGAAGTATCGTTCATTAGGTACAAAAACGAGTATGTTAAAGTAGATAAAATAATTTTAAAATTTTATAAATAGCTTCGTCAATAACAAAAGTTGTAAAACAGGTTTTGTATATTATTATATTAAATTTATTAAAATTATGGATTGTAAAGTTATGACAATAATCGTAATAACCATAAACATCTATCTTATAAGATTTATCTCTCGAATCAGTAATAAATGCTGAAAATTTTTTGAAAAAACATTAATATTTTGGAAAATTTGCATGAAATAATAATTTTGAAAAATCACATCTTTATATTCTTTATAAATTCTAACTAAAGTTTACACTTATTAGTGGGATAAGCATATTAATAATTTCAACATATCATACTGTTTTTATAAAAATATTAGTCTATTATGCATTTATATGATTTTCAATGCTTATTATGATTTTCAAAATTACTTTGAATATCTTAAATCATTGATTTCTGATTTTATTGACAAATTTTTTTTTGAATACATACTTTACTATAAATATTAAATCAAATATACAATATATTATTAAATTTTGTTACAAATAATTTTACATCTACATGATACCCACATATTTTTAATATAATTTTATAAATATGATTTTTTACTTTTCCTATATTATTTTATATTTAAATAGACTAATCTATTATCAATTATAATTTGATCGTTAGTAATTAAAAGCATAAGACATTTACAAGAAAATTTTATTTTTATAATTATATTTTTGTTATTTCAATCAAGTTAGCTAAATTAGATTTTATATAAATTTATATGTATTAATTAATGCATCAAATCATTTCTTGAACGATGAATAATGTTCATCAATTCAAAAAATAAATTTCATCAATGAATAATAAATAACATTTTTAAATACGATAGTCGACTTTGATTTTAGTGTATGGAGTACGTTTTTTTTTTCATAAATTTTCCTTGCAATAAATTATTATGCAGCAACAAGCATGGTACATGATTAATTTGAATATTTTTTCTCAAAAGTTCTTTCAAAGAAGGATCACAGTTTACCTGCAGCTCATGTGTATTGGAGACTTTCTTGTGATAGCCCAAACGGATTGTCGAGAATTCAAAAGTTTATTGGGCCCAATGCGATATGACCTCATAATGATAATCACTCGTTTGTTTTACTTAGCATTATTTTGGTCTATTGAAGTTATCACCTTTGATATTCATATAATTGTGAATTGATTTCTTATTAATTTTCATTTGTTCTATAATATCACACGATTATGAATGCGCTTCTGTTTATTCTATTATTAAATTTTTTTTTAATATATCTCTATTTTTTATTACGAAATTTTTTTTTGTTTTTAACTAACTGAATTTATTTATTTGGTTTCATGTAGAATTTATCAATCATCAAAAATATACGATTTGCCACTATTAAATTAATTTTTAAAAATATAATTCATTTCATGGCGATATTTCAATTTACTCTGTATTATTTTACAGTAAGATGTATAAGAAAAACGTAGTAATCAAAATAAAAATTCATAACGATCATCGAGTTCAAGAAGCAAAAAAAGTAATATCGGCGTGAAGAGGCACTTTACCAAATGCGTTGTACTTTATATAAATTAAATCCTACTGATTAACGAGAGCAAATGCTCAAGGATAAAAACGAATCCATCGAGGCACCTTCACACTTGTACATAATGGTAATGATATTTTCACAATGTAGTCCTCTTCATATTTCATATTCTTCGGTGGCAGTGAGTCAACTCTTGTCCTTGTAGCGATTTTGATGTCACTACAGTAAGGCGCAACGTCGAAAATCGACTGTCATCAGTGCTTCGCTATGTATTTTCAAACAGTTGCCCCTGCGTTGTTCTGCTTATTTGATTAATATTTAGAGTTTGCCGTAATGGTGCGCGTGTCGTGATAATAATCTAGTAAACGACGACACGCAGTCGACTGAATTGATACGTAAGTTATAAAGTTACCTTTTTGTTACAATTCTTCGTAACTTCTCGCTTCGTTAATTTAAAGTAATAGGAGATGTAGAATAAGTCACAAGATCAATTATTATAAATTTTTCAAGGATAAGAGAATATGATTTCATTTAATTACTAGAAAATTTAACATTCGATTCTATTATTATTTTTAACAGTACATTTTTTAAAATACGACAATAAAAAAGTATGACTTAAATTATGTTCTTAATTTCTTATATTTGGAATTAAAAATGATATAAAGTTAATAAAGCTTTATCAAATAAAATATAGATATTCAAATTGCATAAGTTTAAATATAAAGATTAAACCCGAAGTAAATTCTACATCATTAAAATAATAATTATTCATAACGCATGTCAATAAACAATTCAAAACATTTTAAATAGTTTTATAATTTTAATTTTCAAAAATTTTAAGTTACAATTTCAAATAAACAAAATGAATTATTTTGTTTTATTAAATTTGTATTATTACGACTCATCTGTTGTATCGAATCTTCCTATATAATTGTTTTCATAATGTATGATGCATCAATTTTCCAAGCATATCAAATACACAATATATTTCCAATATGTTTCAAATTCAATTCATAAATTTTAATTCATATTATTTATTGATATAATTTATTAAAAAAAAGAAAAAGAGCATTTTTTTATTAAATTTGTAGTAAAGTAGAGACTCGATTAAAGTAATATTCTAAACAACATAAATTCATAATATTAATTATGAATAGATTGCAATATATTACTATAAACATAAAAGAAATTAGTAACACGAACAAAGTGAAGTAGAATCTTATTTTTGTTTTTCTATATTTTGAATTAATTTAGCGGATTCATTAGTAAGATATAGTAGGTGGATTATATATATATTTACGGAGGAAATTGTGCAAGTATATATAGATATAAACAGGATATAAGAATAATTTAATTTGTTGCTTTGAGCGTTGTTAACAATTTTTGTTCAAAAGAATTATCGTTTGAAGACTTAATTAATTTAAGAAAGAATCATATATACTTGATATAATGAGAAAATAAAATAAAAATTTTGTTAGTAAAATTATAGAATTTTGAAACGTTAAAAGAAATTTAACGGAATATTAATTGTTTTTTACTTTATTTAGTGCGTTTAATTAACTGAAAAAAATTAATCCAAACAAATCAACACATGAATTATTAGTTTCGATGATTAGTATTTAATGCCTAGTTTTATATTGCAATTTCAAAAAGTGTTTAATGCTTTTTACACTTGTACAATACCACGGACAGTTGACAGTGTATTTCTAATATTATTTTTAATTATGCTCATGTCAGTGTAGAAATTTCATGAATTAAAAAAATGATTAGGTATTTAGTATTTAGTATAATTTAGTAAATAAAATATTTTTTTAGTTCTATTTACTATTTATTTTTAAATTGTATTTAATAATTTATAAAATTCCTTAAATTTATAATATTGTATACAGTTACATTATATAATATATAATGAAGATTATGAGTAATAATTACATATTCTTAAACTGGAACTACTAAAGCTGTGATAATGAAAAATTAGGAGTATCTTCGCTTGAGTATTACGTATATATACAGTAGAATAATATTACGTTATATCAAATATTTTTAATCAATAGCTTTCTTTTTTCTTAAATATTTATTAATCGAAATATTAATACATAAATTTAGTTTTATATGACTATTTACAGAACTAAAAAATTCAATCAGATTATACGTATTCATATTTATAATTAGAGTGATATGAAATTCATTCTATATATTTCATTTGTATTTTTTAACATATACAATAAAAATATATATTTTTAAAAATATTCTTTATTTATACCATAATTTCTTTAAAAATAAATATTTAATTGATTAAATTGACCTAAAATCCATTTAATATTTTAAATAAAATACATAAATCTTTTTACTTGCACTTTATATTTAATATTCGAATTGTTAATTTAGTGTATTTGTATTTAATAAAAATAGAGATTTTTTTTAATAACATAAAATATTTAAATAATTTTCATACATTATTCAAAATTATTCAGTGAATTGAATTTGTTAGAAAAAAATCTTATTAATCTTTCAAATTATCAGAAGTTCTATGGAATGATTCAACTGAAGAGATGGAGCGTTAATTAACTTTATATATATATATTAAAATTAATTTGACTGTTATTAAATTGAATAAATTGAATAATTTAAATAATTTGAATATTTCAACAGGATAGTATAACTTATTAGTCATTGTTATATTTAATTATTTTATTTGTAATATTATTTTGTATTTCAAAAATGTTTGTCGTAAATACTTCATTTAATTTTGAAGAGATTTTTAAGTCAAGTTATTTAATTTTTATTATTGTAGAAAATTAAAAATCATTTGAATTTCATAAAAAGTACATATTAAAGTTAATTAAGTCATAAAATAATTTTCAAGTTTTATATTCTATGAATAGGCATTTATCTAATTTGTTTTTTTATTTATTTTTGTATTAAGTTTAATCAAACGTGTAAAGAATAATTTGTTACATATATAAATTTAAATGGAAAATCATAGTTAATAAATTGTTGTAATGACTAATAATTTCTAAAATAATTGCTTGTTTATCAATGGATAGAATAAAATAAGTTATCAAATATTTTTTATTTATTTAATATATGAAATTAAATTTATTATTAAGATTGTTGGCATTATTAGATAATTAAAGATATTAGTTTTATTCTTAAATTATAAATAATATAATTGTAAATATTCTCAAATAACATACGGTATCACATATCTTTTGCTAAAAAGTTTTTTTAAAAAATCTACATAGAATATAAGATATTACTGAAATTGTCGATTATTTATATTAAATTTTTTTTTTGGAATCGTTATATTTTACTTTATTTGTATATTATCATTTAATTTGTATATTTAATATATCTTAATAAAAAATGATTTTGTATATCAATTTTATTACAGTAAATTATTAAAAATACAAAATACAAAATAAATGAAAATAATAAAAATATCGATTAACAGAATCAATACTGAATATATCATTATTTAATTTAAATAAATATCAAATTATATAAATTATAGCTAATAATTACAGAATAATATATAGAAATTAGAAATTGCATAATTTTATTAACTAATAATTCGTAATTTAATCTTTCGATATCTTTCATCCACTCATATGACTACGATTCCACGATACTTCCTAATAAAAGGATAATTCAATTTACTAAATATTTTAATTGATACAGCGATAAATGACAAATTAAGATTAATAATACCAATAAGTTTTATTTTTCTTGACTCATTTACCTGTGAAAATTATCTTTGATATCTTTTTCAACATTGAGCAATTATCTGTGTCAATAAACTTTGATTAGCAATGTCCTTGTAGTATTAACTAAAGTCCACATCTTAGAATTGCTGACTACACTTTTGACTTAACTTTGGATAAGACTAAATTAATTCATTTATTTCATTTGTTTTTCACTCGGTTTTAAATATCCATAAGAACAACATTGTAGTACATTAATAATGAGAATTTAATATAAATCGAAAAAAACGAAGTTCTTTTTAACATTCAGTATTAATGCATTTATCAGGATAGTCCAAATAAAATTAGAATGTGATTGTCTTGTATTATATTACTAAATATTAACCATCATACGGTTGATTTAATTAATCAAAATTCGATTTCTATATAGCTTGGATATATAATTTGAATTTTACAATATTAAACAACAATTTTAAAATAAAATTTTACGTGTTTAGAATCTAGTGTCTGTTCATTTTAAATGTATACTCAGTGTTCGAGCAAATTGCAAGTTGTACTTATCTATTGGTTCGTTTTTTTTTTTTGCTCTGGTAGTATTTGTCAATGCTATCATCAAAGCTTCGCCAGTTCAAAAACTTTGAATTTTGTTTGGCCATGTACAGATACTCTATAATATCTTAGTATTTTTATTTCATTGTACATCTATTATATTTTGAGATTTGATTATAATTCATTACTATAAATAAATTATATGTGTACTGGGTCATAATAATATTATAATACTAATCTTTGAACTCTAAACTATCTTAAGATAAGATATGCATAAATATATTATTCTTTTATCGTTTATGGTGGAACTTCCACTAAAGTGCTTTTTTTGTTTGTTGTGGCATATTGGTAGATTGATGAAAACATCTGACAATCTAGAAAACTCGATGCTTAATATTAACCATTTTCCAACACATTCTGAATTTTATAGAATAAAACTTTCCTTTGTATTAGTAATAATTTTTAAAATAATTTTTATTCTAAAATTCTGAAGAAGGATTGGGATTGAGATGATGAAATTAGTACTATTATTTAATACTGTTTGGTTTGAGTATTTATTTCGATTCGCACAATTTATCATTTATAAACAATAGAACAGTAGACTCATAAGAACATGAAAATTAAATATAATTACAATTCTTTTAAATAATATAAATATATTAAATATGATTTCGATGTCATAGATGTATTTTGTATTCAGGATCAGTTCATAAATTACTGCCGCTTATTGATGTTTTGTGGCCTTACCACTGTGATGTTTAAAAAATGTCCGATTTTCCAAACAAATTGTTTACATAAAGTTTTCTTGTCTATTTCGGTTGAAATAACAAGTCTATAAAAATGATTTAAATAAAATTTCTTCACCGTTAACACGAATTTAGTGAGTGCATTTATGCAAAATAATAACTATTAGTGGACATAGGCTATAAAGATAGTACGTTATTCAAATTAGTTTATGTTTTATTAATTCAAAATTAGGGAAAAACTGACTCTACATTCTATAGTAGCTAATTAGCCATAAATTAATTTTATTTGATACAAATTTTTTCGAAATCGTGTACATAGATTAAAAAAAAATTAATTTAAATTTACGGCATTTATATTTTTCATCAAATACTGTAACAATATGAAAACTTCTTCTGAATAATTGATTATATTATTACAAATATATTATATGATTTTAAAAATGTATGAGCATATTATTATAAATATTAATTTAATAAATTAAAAAGTATTTTGTTTTTAAATTTTCTAATCCATTACAGTGAAAAGACCAGACCACTTCAATAATTTGTTCGAATAATTGGCACGAACTATTATAGTTTAATATTTATCATCTGTCATTATTTTAAAGAATTCTAATAATTATCATTTAGAGAAGAGAGATCTGGATTGTTCATTTAACAATGTCATGATACTATTACTCGTAAACATTAAAAACGAATATCTTAAATACAATACATTAATCAATCCTAAATGATGTTTATTTAAATACTTTTATAAATACAAAAAATAAATAAATTCATCATTTATTAATTAGATTACATATTTATCATACATTTATTTTCATTATTTACATTTATTTATTACCTACTGAGAATCATATTTGATGGAAATAAATATTGTTTTACTGTTTCGTACAAAACAAGATTTCTATTAAAATACACTACACTTAAATTACTTTACATCGTGCATAAATATAATAATATTAGACATTTTTAATATCACATTTCTTTCGCATATTAGTAATAACTTAATATATAATAGAATATTTTATATACCAGTATTTAATTTAATCTCTAGTTGTTTACACATTCGTATACTTAAATTCAAAGTTTATAACAGTGTAATAGAACAGACATAAGTGTTTAAAATTCTTGACCCATTTTATGTTAAAATACATGGATAAATAATTAAGTCCACTTGAGACAACTGAAATTCTATGTATGCACATAACATATACAAAAAATATTCGTTAATAATAATCAATTTTTGATTACTTATTTATTTATATATTGAATTTATTATTGAATTGAAATTATTATTATTTTAACTAATCCTTCATTAATGATACAATAATAATAATTTCAATTAATAGACATTAACATACGGTGAGAAATTAAATTTATAGTTGTAGACAAGTAAATTAATTATGTTTATTGTATTTGTTTATATATCTTTTAGGTTATGGATGTACATTGGAAAATGAAAACCAGAAACTAGACAGCAAATAAATAAGAGAGCTATTATGAATTATTATAGGAGTTACAACTTTAAGAAAATTATGAAAATTGTGTGTAGACATTTAATTTCATTCTGTAATAATAAATTGTCACTATGTGATAAATTAAACATTGTTAATATGTTATGACAATTACAATATTGAATTAAGAATGATGTTAAATTAAAAGTAAATTTATGCTTAACCATTATTAATAGATTAATGTTCCTTATAAAAATGAATATTAACAATTTTGGGATATTTTTCAAATACATTTAAATAAATTTTATCTAGATATTTTATAACTTCTAAGTATAATAATTAATAAAAGATAATATTTTTATATTTGAATAGGCTATCAGTATAATACTAACTTAATTTCTCTACAAAAGTGGTTTCTATAATATTTTTTATTTTTATGTTTATCTTATTTAATCAATAGAAAAAATATTCGTATCGTTGCTTATTTTATTAAACTTGTACACAATATAAATTTTATGTTGCATTCATAAAAATACGCGATTTTAAAAGTTTAAATTTCATAATTTAATTATATATCTTTATTATAAATTTTATTAAAAAATTTTTTTTACCTTACATACTTTTAAATATACAACAACAAAGATACATAAAAAATTATATTTCATTGAATTTTATAAATGCATTTTCAATTATTTATGGCTGATAATAAAACTAAACTTTGCATAATAATAAACTTTATTAATTTATTAAATGTAATAACAGTTTAATCAAATGATAACATCGATGTTCTATATATGAATATATATGTATTAGAAATTTGTTACTATAAGGGTAATTTTAGTTTAAGAATTTTATGTAATTAGCAATAAAATAAAAATCATCAAAGTTTGTATTGTATATGTATGTAAACACACACATATATATAAACAGATTCAGAGTGTTGCAACAATAGTTTAATAATTAACATTTTAAAACAATTCACTATAAAAATATATATTTTATTAACAAAAATAAATTGATAAAATTTACGACAATTATGAAGATATGATGAAATTATGTGTTTTCTCACTAGATTTAAAATTGCTTAAACATCTGTTATTAATTGCAAAATATATTATAAAACTATAATGAAGATAAAAGTAACATAGTTATTAGTAATTCAAGTTAACGTGGAAATTAAGTATATATTCAAATTTCATAAAGATATATACGATATTACGTTTTTGGTTATATTATTATATTATTATCAATATTAAATTACAAATTCTGATTTAGATCACAGAGATGACACTGAAATTTACTAAGAGAAAAAATTTTAATTTCCAAACGTATAAAATATTAACAAGTACTTACATTATTCGATACTTAATAGTATTAAATCTTTGAAATAATGAGAAAATAAAGAATCTATGCTTGAATAATTGTTTAATATATCCAAAAGTGACAATTATACTAACTGTACTTTTTTTTACTGTGTTTAAAAAGAAGTACTATTTTTAAAAGTTGTATTATCAGCTGTTTGTCTTTTGATTAATATAAAGCGTTCAAAATCTCTTTATAAAGTCATATATTTATATGTTTTTATAATAGAATTGAAAAAAAATTATATATATAAAACTTTAATTAGTTTAAAATAAAACAGACATTATTATTATATTACTATATTATTGTAATTAAATTTCGTTTGTCTCATGTAGAAAAATATGTAAAAAATGGTTTAGCCAAAATGTGCACAAATTGTTATTTCAGTTATGAAACTTATGTCGATTTACAATTTATTTTCGTTGCTTTAGCACAAATTACCATAGATAATTTATATATAAATGACCTCCGGTATGCTTTGTTCTACACTGACAAATTTTAAAAATAATGTTTTGAAATTTCATGTAGAAAATTTAAAAGCATTTGATATATTATACAGGAAAATAGGAAAATAACAAAAATTATTTCGTACAAATAGAAATATAAAGATGTAGAAAAAGCTCTAAAGATCTCTAAAGATTAAAAAATATATTTTATCTAAGTGTTTATAAAAAGCAGTCATCTAAACAATACCCGACAAATTAAATCAATAATTGTGCATTAAAATGTACAAGTAGCTTAAGTTAATTATTAATTTGCATTAATAAATTAATGTAGATGTGCGCGCGTGTGTGTGTACATGCATTTATGTAAATATGCTACTAAAATATATAAATGATTATACAATACTTATACTAATAATCGAACAACTTCACGTTCACAAAGTGTAATTGACAACTCTTATGAACTAAAATCTTTTCAGATGTCTTAATGATTTTAATTGCTTATAATATTAGGAAAATATTGATCCCCGCATTTAATTAAATATTCCTCTGATTCTCGTGATCGATCAGAATTAAAGGAACATTGCTCTTGAAGTTGTATATAGTAAATGCCGGTCTGTAATTATAGGGAAAATTTTAATAAAAAAATTTAATTGTACTAAAAGCGACAAATATCCCATTTCTTAATTTTTTTTTCAGATGTGTATCGTCTTAAGATTCAAGATGACAAAATGGCACTGTATGCAAGATAAACATAGAGATGAAAATCATCGAAAGTAGTCTTCCTCATAAATTCATTGCACGCATCTGCACATGCACGCGTATATAGGCCTCAAAGGCTTTATATATACGCTTCATGTATATAGATCTCGTGAATAATACTTTGTAGTATTGCGCTTCCGTGCAACTATCCGCTACGCATGAGCAAAGGGAATGTAATATGGTAAATGGTCTTAAAAAGAAGAGAGGAGTAAAGGAGATGTGTAGGAAGATGAAAAGAGGAGAAAGGAATAAAGGATTATTATGATGGAGTTTCTTCATGATTGCGTTATTTACACTTAAACTCGCGGTTGCACGTCCTTTGCGCTCTCGCCATTTTCCAGACAGGAAACATCCTGGGCCGGGATCTGACCACGCTTACTCAATGGATTCCCCAGGTGGAGCATCGCTTTTGTCAACCGACATTCTGTTGCGTAGGCTCGGCTTCCGGTTGGCTTCTCGTACCGTTCGCCTCTGTCGAGTCTGCAATAAATTAGACATTGTTTTTCTATCCCGATACATGTGTGTTCGTCCTTTTATTTTTATATAAAAGGAACGGCTTGGAATTTTTAGTAATTCGCATGCTAGTGGAGAATTATTGATTTTACATTTATCTGCGCCCGACGTATTATCGTGAATACTTTCTTTACGCTCATTTGGCTGCAGCTCTTTATTACATAAAAATTCTTATGAGCCAACTTTAGCAGTAGAAACTTAATTATAAGTTTCTTTATTATTTCTTAATGTATGTTAAATATTTTTATAAAAGCATATTACTACAAACGTATAAAGCTCTTGTATTTGCTTTGTATTTTAAATCGTCAAAGATATACGTTAAAGAATAAAATTTAACTTTACTTTTCATTTCAACTACTAATTTTTTCTAACCAATTGAAACTATATATATTTCGTTATTTATACTCCATTAATTGACGAACATTCAAATTAAATAAGGAAATAATAATCTTGTATCATTTTAAAATAATAACATTCGGTATACATTCTATTATTTACATAAATACTGGAAAATAGTGAAATAATTACGATATTTACGTTTAAAATGTTAAATTTTATGTTTCTTCTTTTTTATGATTCCATAAATTTAATCGAATTAAAAATGTATGTAGATAAATCATCAATTTTTGTTCAACCATTATTTACAAAGTTAATATATAAAGCATATACATTAAACTTTTTACTACAATTTTATAATTATAATAGACAATTGTATTTTTATTTTTAAGTGGTGAAAAATAATAGCACGTTAAGTAATGATATTCACTATATATTATCAATGAATTGATAAAAACTTAAATTAACATTATAATTTATATAATTCGCAGAAATATAAGAAGTAAATTAAGTAATCTAAATCATTTAATATTTCAGGTTAATGAAACATCCGATTGAATATTAATCAATATTACGTTATGCAAAATATTATAAAATGATCAATACAAAATGTTTCAGAAAGTTTTTTTTTTCATTTGCATTATAAATTTAACATATATGATTATTCTATTTAGAATTTATTACTAATTATATTAAAAATTTCTTTTATATTTTCTTATTCGTCATAAATAATCAACTCTAATATAATGTAATATAATTCTAATAATTCCTTTTGTTAGCATAAATTCATATTTCTTAACAAATAAAACTTTAAATATGTATTTCGTTTACGACTTTATATAGGAATGAGATATTTTAATTAAATATCCATAAAAAATACATTATAATCAAATATAAGGTGAATGATTCTATTGGATTTTAAAAATTTAATAATTTGGACAATTATTGATAATATAACTACAGTTAAGCCAACTATAAAATATTGAGCAAAATTAATCTAACTCTATAATTAAAATTAACTATTGACTTAATTGTTTTATTTTTAATTTATTATAGCTCTTATATTAATTAAACTAATGAATCTGTAATCAACTTAATATAAAATACTATTAAAATTCAATTATGCCAGGTTAGGACAGTACTATTATCTTAAGAAATGAAATAATATCTAGAAAAAAGGTCAATCAATAAGTGAGTTATGCTACTACGAGGTTTGCAGTAGTTTAGTTGAAAACATGTTCTTTATTTATTATATTTTTATATTTATAATATTTGTATAAATTATGAAAATTAAGACTACTATCATATTAAAAATAATAAATACCATGAAACGATGTGTGAATAATTTCAGTTATTTTTTCGTAAAATTCTATAATAGCATATTATATGGTGCTATTAATCAAGAAACTTTGTAAAATATATTTTTGTCCATTAATTTAATTTATTTAAATTGGGTTTTGAGTGGTACATAAATAATTTTCAGTTACAAAACTATAAAATAATAAGATTAAGTTAATGTTCTATAGGAATCATACAAAATCAGATGCAACATCTAATAATATTAATTGCATTAATTATATAAAGTAATGTTTTAATAAACATTTTCTAATTTTTAAAATCAACAAATTTGATAACTTTATTCGTACAAAAAATTATTTAATATTTAAAACCTCGTATCAAGTTTTCACATTATAGCATTAAAAACAATTCATTTATTTCCAGTCAAGAATATGAAGGAAATTAAGAATGAAGTATCGAAGATTATAGTTTATTTTTATATTTTAGATAGCATGTCACATAGAAGCTATTAAAAATAAGAAATATTGAAAATAATTTGAATAATATAAATAAATTTAATAATTATAATACTATTATAAAAATTCGATATTAAGATACTTTAAATAAAATTGAACGAATGATTTAAAAAGAATATTTTATTAGTTACTTAATCATTTGAATTTATACCTGTCCTGATTTAATAATATTAACATTTATTCATTATTTATTCAGTATTTCTTTAAACAAAAGTAATTCAATTTTTTTAATGAAAATTTTATTCCAAATTAAAAATAGATGCAGAAAGCATAAGATATTTCATTTTAGCTTTATTTTTTGATACAAGGTGACTAATGTATATAAAATTTAACACTTTTTGTAATTTGATAATATATATATATATATATATATATATATATATATTTTATATTGAAATTTGTAATTCCGTGCAAAAATAATATAGGCAAAATTCCTAATACATATTCTATTGGAATGAAAACCTGTACTTTGATATTCACTTTACGATTAAATATTTAAAATTAATATTAATATTATTTACATTAGTTTCCAACGTTAAATATTCTAATATTAAATTTCGTATTAAAAAATTTTTAAGATATATTTTATTATTCAGTAGAAATTTAGGAGAAACACAGTAAAATAATAAAATAATATAAAGAACGTAATATTACGTCTTTATACGTAATAAAAATAAGATTTAACATTACGGAGAAAAAATTGTTTTGTTAAATGTGGAATATTAGTGAGATCGATATGGGGTTATATCTAATATCTTAATTTGATAAAGTATATCCGAAGAAAGAAAAACAAATTTTGTTCTTAGGTGATTTTATTTCTTTTCATATTTGATAAATAAAATCGTTTGGTAGTAAGAAATAAACAGTTCACCTGTGGTAAGGGCTTCGAGCCTCTGGGGTAGATCAGCAGTGTCGGTATCAGCGTGTCGACCATGTATATCGGGTATGGCATTCCGTCGCCCCGTTCGACCAGTTGATAAAAACTCTTGAGTATTGTCGTAGCAGGTGAGGGTGACTGCGACGCCGCCGGCGCCGCTGCCACCCGCAGCTGCACCATCGCTGCTGCTTTTACAATCGCTTGACTCCGATCCGGAAGCGGGCTCCGAATGCTTTTGAGACAGCATTTTTAGAGCTACAAATTGAGAAGAAGCTTTAGTACGTACAATCAAGTATTAATAATTTTTCTTTACGAGTTCAGAATTACAAAAAAAATTTAAGCCTTTTGTATTTCAAAGAAAGTAATACTACCTTTCTTGTCACGTTTTTGCACAAATGATGAGTGATAAATGCGAGTAATTTAACATAGATAAAAAGTGAGAGGAGAGGAAGAGGGAGACGGAGGGAGACGGAGAGAGAAAGAGAGAGAAAGAGAGAGAAAGAGAGAGAAAGAGAGAGAGAGAGAGAGAGAGAACGATACGACGAGAAAAATATCATAATTTATATGTATTATTATCAAAATGTTATTAAGTTTTTGGCACATTTTTTCTCATTAAAGAGTTCATTAACTTTAGTTCTGATTTTTATTATACATTGAATACTTATTCGATTATCGATTTCATGCTTTATGGTTTATAAAAATGAAATTTTACGTCGATTTTCTTACAATGTTTAAAATATATCTTTTCATTTTTAATATTCAAATCCTTTTTGAAATATGTAATAAAGACTTTAAAGAATATAAAATAAATAAAATAATAAATCAATACGTTTTAACATGTGTAAAAGCTAATCTCTCAAAATAATTCAAATTGTAACTTAATGAACTTGACAATCAATATGCTTTAAATTTCATTTAATATTTTTTATTAAAAATAAGTTATATTATATAAAATTTCTATCTCAAATACTAGTTAGTTTCTTCATTAAATAGAAGATGGTAATTTAGTATAATCTCAAATCTAAACAAATTTTCATGTTTCATAAATCATTTTGTATGCACTGAATATTTTAACACAAATGTACGGATAGTTTTGTGAATAGAATAACGAATTAAAATATTAATTATTGTCTTTATTCTGGAATTTTTGAATACTTAAAATATTTTTTGTTATAATCATAATTAATGTAAAAACTAGAAATGATAGTGATTATTTTTATATTATTATAAAACAAAATATTTATAGTAATAAGGAAAAGCTTTTATTAATTTTCAAAAAAGTATAATTTTAGTTGTAATGTAAATCTTACAATATTATATTGTATATATTATAAATGCTAAACATAAAATAGAGTATTATGAGCAAAATGTATAATTTAACTATTTGGGAAATATTAAATAAATTTGAATACAAAAATAATTATATTCAACTACAATCTTAAACAATGTTACAATGTTTTTCAAAACAGTTTGAATTTAGAACAAAAATAGAATATGAATATCTTCTAATTATAACAAAATTGACTTATTTAATATCATCAAATTATTAATATATATTTTGTAATTTAATACGTCTAGAGCTTTGCAAAAAAAAAACAAAGAGAATTTCTTTTTAAAAACTAATATACTCTTATACATAACATTAGTGAAGTACAATATTATACTATGTTACTATTGTTATTGTTATTGTCATTATTATTATTATTATTACTAATAATATTAAAGAGTAAGATAGAAAATGTTATTAAAGTATTATGCTTAACATCTAAATAAAGCAGTGTTTATTGCAAATAGTTATTTGATGATCGATTCTTTCTTAAATAATGTGCTCTAATAAAATTATGATAGAAAATTCTGAATTAATAATATATATATATATATATATATATATATATATATACATAGACATACATTTATGTTAAACATTAAAAAATCTTATGTAATAATTTGTTTTAGGAATTCATAAAATTTAAATTTATATTGAACAAATATTAAATTAAAAATGTTTGGTACTATTAAAGGAAACGTTTTAAAAGGCGCATGATTGACCTTGATCAATAATAACAATGTTTATTATATTTAAAGAAATGTGATTATTCAATCAAATTACACGTTACAAAACTGTTTTGTGGATAAATATAAAATGTAAAATAATGAAAAATTAAAAAAATTTAAAAAATACTATATAAAAAAATTTAAGAAAATAAATATATACAAAAAATTAAAAATTCATATAAAGAAAAATTAAAAAATTTATGTGATTAAAGCAAATCTTTATATGTGTTATTTCTTAATTTTATACATACTTATATAATAAAATTATACACTTATAATCTTATTTTCATTAGCATAAAAGGAAGGAAATTATCAGAATATATTTAAAATAATATTCTAATATGCATAAACAATTTCAAGTTTTTATTGTCACAAATTAATTTATTATTCACTTATGTAATCTATGTAATTTATAAAATATTGAACTTTATTAAGTTAAACAAACTTTATAATTATTTTTAGAATACAAGAATTTGTATTATAAGATAAATTCAAATATAATAAAGAAAAATATTTTTATTATAAAATTGAGATATCTTTGACTTTATTATGTCTCATAAGTGACTTTTCTGCAAATGAAAAAGTGTCAATCTTTATTCTTTCGGAAAATATATTAATTGACATGAAGTTGTGAAACGAAGTATACACAATGTAGCGGAAAGAGCTTTTGTTGCAGGTACTTTCTTTTATTTGTATTGTTTTTATGTGAATATTGTAGTAGTGCGCATGTTCCGCATTTTGTTGTAGTTACTTTCTTTCCTTTGCTTAGTCTTTATATGAATACAGAATTAGTGCGCATGTGCACAACGATGTCAAAGATCGAAGGATCGAGTACATCTGTGATTAATACTTTAGAAGTTTGAAAATACTAATTGTCCTTATTGTAAAATTGTAGATTGTGAATTTTTATAGTTCCCTTTGTTTCTATTAATTAATGAAATATACAGCGAATTTATATCTGTATGGTTATGATGTTTGATTTAATTAATACACTAAATACAATTTGTTTATAAATTAAAGTGATAAACAATTTAATTGTTTAAATAATAAAATTTTATACTTATTTTTGCTTGAACAATTACAAAATAATATAAATAATATTAACGCAATAAAAAAGTTATTTAAAAGTTTAGAAACCCAAATAAGAATATATTACGTTAATGCTGTTCTTTGAAGTATAATATTAAGCTATTTTAGTAGATCCGAAATGAAAAATATTTTCAGAAATAGATTTTTATAAAGATAAACAAAATTATTGTCTTATAAGAATTTGAAATAAAAAAACTATTTTTTAAATAATATAAAATAATCCGTTAATGGTGATATCATTTATTGTATATATCACGTAGTTTTAACTGGAATATATATTTATAACTAATATTATTAATTACTAATACTATTTATGATTTTGTATTTTTTTAATGAAATAATTTTTAATATAATAATAATGATTTAATTATTATATAATTTATTTTATGAGTTTCTAATATAATTCACTATTATTCTATCATGTAGTTATCAGGTGAATGTGAATTACATATACAGCAATAATATAGTACATAAATAATGGTGGAAAACTTCTACGTTTGACAATTACATCAACAATGTATTATCACCAATAAAAATTAAAACATTACAAAAATAAAGTTACTTCCTTTAGCTGGCAGAATCAGCAGACGAAGAACAAAGTAATCATTTAAAAAGTCAATTTTTTTTTATGTTTATAAATATATATATATTATTTCTATCATGTCTTACGATTAACCATTAATCTTTAATATATAAAAAAGATAAATGATTATTAATTTTAAATATTTATTTATTTTGATTTTGAAATTTGTTAATACATATATAATTCTTGTATATAAATATTATTGAATATGTTGAAACTAAATAAAATGCCTCTTTATTATGATTTGAAGAACTAAAGAGAAAGGAAATTACTTGTAATAATGTCTGTAAGCAGATTTACATAATTAGGCGGAAAAATCAAAATTTATATAAATTGAGTTGTAAAATTAAAATTTAATACGTAAAATTATCATAAAAAATTCAAAAATTAGAAATGTATGAAAAAAATTAATGAGAGTGAGAGAGAGAGAGAGAGAGAGAGAGAGAGAGAGACGGAGAAAGGCAGAAAATTAATGAATACGGCTAATGAATAGAAATACTAAATGAATAGAAATTAAATTATATGTAAAAATAGTATGCTACAGTCCAGAACCGAAAAATAATTTGAAAAAATAAATAAGACAACAGTAGAATGATCGATCCTATGATGAAAATTGCGTCTTCAATACGCGAAAAGATGAATAAATTAATAGTTGTATAAATGAAAATGAAATATCAAACTTGGTTTGATTAATTTTTTAAAGTTATCAGTTACTATTGAATTTTTTTTATCTTACATTATAGATTATTTTAAATATTACATACGTAAGTGATTGCCAACTATTCTTAAATGTTTTTATTTACTTTTTAAAAAATATTTTTTTTAATTTACACTAATAATAGATATTATATATGTAGCGGCATTACCTTTTTCATTATGCATTATGAATCTAGTAATATAGAAGTAAATTTAATATATTAATTAAACACAAGGATTTTAAATATTTGAAGATTAAAATCTTATAAGAAAATATGTAACAATAATAATAAATAATAAATTATTTTAAGAACGTAAAGTAACACAACTACTATACATAGATTAATTTAAAACATAATTGGTCTATCATAATACCATTTTTTTCAATAAAAATTCTCTTATTCTTAGTTATAGGCTCAATTCACCTATGTAATAAATAAAATTATGGCTTGATAAATACTTTCACAATAGTGTCAAGATATTATTTGATTCAGTGACAAGCATTAAAGTTATCATCTGTCTCCAAATCTAATAAATCAATTTCTTTTCCAATCAGCTTTGTTATATTTCCAAAAATCGATTTCCTCCGCCTTTATTTTCAATTAGTTGAATAAAGCAGAAGAAGGTCAAACGTCCATGAGTAGTCTCAATTGAGAAAATAATAAAGAGCGAACACCGGCGTAAATGTAGAGATAGGCAGATGAGAGTTCGAGCTAAGATATAGATATAGAAAGTTTTTGTTTTCTTTTTTTTTTTAGTGTAAGAAAACTATAGAATTAGTAAAAGAGTATTATGTAGCATGAGATACGGTGCTAAGTACCTTGGACACGAAACAGACGTTTTCCTCGTCTGCACTTCCTCAATCTTCCAGAGACAGGTACGCCAACGGCGTTGGTCGGAACTTTCTGCTGCTTCACCTGTGTCCTCATTATAATTGTTACATTTCTTTAGAGATTATAAGCTTGTTTACATATACAGCATCCTTATCACGCTATTTTTTTTAATCATACAGTATCCTTCATTCCAATATGCACTTTCAGACAAAAGAAGATTTTGTGATTGCAACATTAAGTAATCTGAAGAATTATTCTTTTCATTTTAATCGAATATTTAGAAGGAAAACTGTTTATTCAAAATTTCTGTTTACAATTTCCTATTTTTTTCAATTTATTAATATAAGATTATTCATTTTTTAATATTAAATAATTAGATTAATTAAAAACCTTACTTTTTTAGGTTTATATCTCTACATAATTTTATGTATTATAATATATATCATTTGAAATTGAATTAAAAAGGCAAATATAAATATAATCATAACTATTTTTACGCAAAAATGATTGATAATAATTCGCTTGTATTTAAAACAAAAATATAGTAGCTCCAAGTCTTACGTAAAGAATAAATTATTCTAGATAAAAACATTGTCATATTTATTTAAACATTCAGAAATAAAAATCAAATTACATAGTGAGATTTAAAAAATTTGAATGTTAAATTAGTATTTAAAAACAATACTATTAACGTTAATATATATGTATAACGATGATTCAGAAATTTATACTAAACAGTTATTTAAAGACTGAAAGTTAACAATATTAAAAAAAGATATTCATTGATAGTAGAAAATTAGGTATTGATATTTAATAAACTAAATTAAATTACTTTGTCCTGTTTTTATAAAAAATAACTAGATGGTTATATATAATATTTGCTTCGATCAATATCTTCAATACTTACTTCTAACTAGTCTATTAAATGTAGATAAATAATAGAGCTAAGTTTCTAAAAAACATTATAGATTAATAATCAATCGCTGTGTGCATAGGTAATTAACCAAAATATAATAGTAAAATTTTAAATGAAATAAAAAATTTATAATAAACAAATACTAATTGAAGATAAAAATAAAAACTTTACGCTATTTAATAAATAAAAATGGATATATATAAATAATTTACTGTCTAGAACATTTTTTTGAATAGAGTATATATTATCAGGAATATCATTTTTCGTATAATAAAGATAATAGTGAGTAGCATTCTTTTTCGTAATAAGTTTTCAATAAAACTTATATTATGCATTTGTATATATTACACGGCGTTCAAAACAATTTTCTTGAATTACAGATTTTTTTAAATTATTGATTTCTTCCGAAGGATCATAGTTTATTCTGTATTAATAAATAATTACAATTAATCAAATTCAATTCTGTAGGTTATATGTAGGTTATGTGTCCATTATATAGGTTTACATCAATTAAAAATTTTACAGATGCTTGAAATTTAAGGTAAAATTTACAAGAATATTTATTTATCCAATTCAAAAATAAAAATTAATATAATATTTTTAAAAATAACTATCCAAATTTTATGGGCATTTTAATACACAATACTTAAAAAATTATTTATTTAAAGTATAATATAAAATGTATATAAAGGTAATAGATAATTTAATAATTATGGATTGAATAATTAGAAAAAAACATAATAGTAGTTTCATTTTTTATATTTTATGTCATTTGTTCTATTAATAAAATTATATATTAGTATTCGTTAAAAAAAAAAAAAATTGTCAGAATTAAAATTTTTACTTATTTGCCTATTGACAGATAACAAACAATATTTCACACCAACATTTATAATTTCCTATTAACTTGATATTGAAAAGTATTTTATTTTATTGTAATTTATTATTATATTTAAATCATAAAGCTGAGTCAAATTTCTAATTGATAATACGTTTCCTGCATAGAATTAACAATAAATTCAGTATAAATCATAAGATTATTTTATATATTTAATTATGTTAAATAAAGAAGCAATTAATATTTTTTATAACATTTTTTATAGAAAATCTTAAATATTTATATTTTAATACTCAATAATAACGTTAAAATTAACATAACTATTTATTATCTAATATAAAAATTTATTATTAAATAAAAAGATAAAAAAATTTGTAAAATATCCTTAAAAAATGAATCAATAAGTAGCTTTCTTCATAATCACATACATAATATCATAGCTTAACGTAAAATACATAAAAATCATGCATATTTACAACATAAGATATAATTAAAAAAATACAATATAAAATGAAATCAATCACAATTTGTTCTGTAAATATATTGGTATTATATTTTTATGAGCCTAAGGGAAATATTTATTTATCTACTGATAAATAAAAATTAGCATAGGTAAAAGATATAGAACTTGATATAGAATAGAAAAAATATAGAACTTGGATTATATTCTGAAAAAATAATGAGAAATTGAATACGTATATTTCAAATATATGTAGTCCTATAATTCTATAATTCTTACAAATAAAACAAAGTAACAAAAAAATAATATTCAGATAATTAATTATGTAAATGGAATATAAAAGGCTTTGGAATATATATATTTTTATGAGACTCTTTATATTATTATTTAAATGGAAATATTCTTTAAGAGAGAAAAGAAATAATAATTATTAAAATAATTCAAAACAAATTCTATACAATATTTATGTTGAGATAACATACATTTTAAATTTGTCATATAAAGAGAATATTATATATCATATACAAATAATTTTGAAGCAAATTGAGCTTTAACATTTTTATCAGCTTATCTTAAAATAACTTAGTATTAATATGGTTATATGGATATGTCGACATTACTTAATAGATTCATATTAATAATAATTGCCCGCGTGTTTCGGATTTAAAATATATAATATTGAAATTTCTAAATTAAGTTCAAGATAAAGTAAAAGAAATTTAAATGTATTAAAGATGTTGTAAGAAAGCAAAAGACCTTGAAGATAGATTAGTAGAGAGTGAGAAAGTAATAATATATGCAAAGAATAAATAATACTGCGTCAACACTCTTTTGAATTTTTATTACTTTATCATTGTAGTATCAATCTTTTCTTTGAATACATATTTTCCTTCTAAGATTTCCTTCACCGATTTATTTTCGGTTACACAAATACACATATGTACGTAGAATAATGAATATCCAAGTCTACGAGGAATAGATAGCTTTGGATTACCACATTTACGACGTTATTTCCCTCCTGTGAATAGCATCATATTTTATATAGCAAAAAGTAAGAAGCTATAGCAATTTTTTTCTACGCAGCGTAATATATTATTAGAATATTAAAAGATTCTTTTACCACGTTTACTATAGAAGAAATTGTTCATCTTATTTTTATCGTTAACTCTGATAATTTATTATATCTAAATGCCTACTTTATACATTAAAAAATGAATCACATAATTATATAGAATGTCGTGAATGATAACTTTTATATCTATTTTGAAGTTAAAAATTGACTTGAATTTTCATCATAAAACGCTACAATTTATAGCGCAAAATTTATTGTAGTATCTAAATATAAAATAATATAAGTAGAAACAAATTTCTTTTGAAATCTTTTGTTTCGTTACCAACAATAGAAAACACATAAAAATTAAATGTTATTTTACAGTATTATTTTTAATAATATAGAAAAAAACATTGATAAAGTCATGTCGCATTTATAATAAATTCACTAATAATTTTCTCGTTGTATCATTGCATGATAAATATAAAATTCTATAATATATTAGAACAATTAAGACTCTATAACAATTTTTTTTTTTAATGGACAGTGAATTATTATCATTTTAAATATTATTTTAGATAGAAAAATAGAAAAAATACTTTACATTTAGATGAAAATTTGTTTGTTTAATTCTACAATGCAATCATAAAATCTAAAAATAAATAGTCATTAAGTGATGAAAGAATTACAAAATATGCATACTTATGTTAGTATTAATTTCTTGATAATAGCTAATTGTTGGCGAAAATATAATTAATATGAAATTCTCTAAAACGGAAATGTAGTTGCAAACGAATACAGTGAATGCGTAGGGAGAATAGGGAGTTCAATAGAATAATAGGAAATGATTTAAATATATATTTTATTTGTTTAATAATGGCATTGATGAAAATGAAAATCTAAAAATAAATTTAAGATAATATTCAAAATAGAAACCTTGTTCGAATATTTAAAAGAATAATGACTAAATATTTTAAGATAAATGTTCTAAATACTTATAATTTAGAGAACTTGCTTCATCTATATTATTTACTAAATTAATTTGTTAAATAATTTAGATTAACTCATGCCTTCAATGAAATATACTTAGATGTATAATGCTATTAAAATTGCATTAATAAAATATGAAATTTGATATAAATTATAATATTCTATAAATAATTATATATAATTGTTTTGTTAAGCTTATATCAACTACGGAAAAACTGAATTCTAAATAATAAATATTTGTTATGTATAAATCAATATGCAAGAAATCAATAGAATATATAACGTCACTAACTTTGCGATTTACATTTTTCTGTGTCTGTGCCCTACTCTTTCTTTATTACGTTCTAATAATATATATGAAGAATAATCATAAGAACAAAGTCATTCATAATTAATAGAAACTCATACTTAAAGACTGACATATTATAGAATTTATACTTTACTAATTTATTCTAAGTAGATATAACATATTTATAAATAGAACAAATAAAATAACATATATTATAGATCTTAAAATTTGAATGTAATAATATCAAAAGATTTACAATGAAGTGTTTAAAAATGTAATAACCAAATGAAAAATTTAATAATATACTGATTAAGTTATATTTTGAATAAGTTTATGACTTTGTACTAGACCATGAAATTACTATGTGTAACTATAAATTTTTTATATTTATTAAAATTGAGAAATCGCGATTTTATAATATTATTGAAAAAATATAATTTATTAATCTATATATAACTATTTTATTAATCTATTTAAATATTTCTCCTTCTAAAATATAAAAGTAAAAGCTATTTTTCTTAGCATTTAATGGAAATAAAAAATATTCATGTA